AGTTTACTCTGCTGGGTTTTGGTGTTGGTTTGGTCCAGTATTTCCTCACTATGACCTCTTTCCTCTGTTTGGAATAATGTCTGTCCTGTGCCATTGTATGTTGGAAGTCAGTAATGTGCTTTTTGATGTTATAGAGGGTTACAATGAGAGATTGTCTAGAGTTTCAGAAGAGACTTTGGGCTTTTAAATATTGTTGAGACTCTGATAGACTACGGGGGCTTTTGAAGTCAGACTGAATGCATTTAGTATTATTGGGACAGGACTAGGAGCCTGTGTGGGCCAGGCAGTGGATTGTGGTGCTTTGAATGAGACTGGCCCCCACTGGCTCGTGCATTTGAACAGTTCATCCATAGTTGGTAGAACTATTTCGAAAGAATTCGGAAGGGTGGCCTTGTTGGAGGACTTAGGTCACTGGGAGTGGGCTCTGAGATTTCAAAAGCCCACTCCATTCCCAGCTGTTCTCTCTGCTGCCTGTGCTTATGAATTAAGATATAAGCTCTCAGCTACTGCTCCGGCACCATGCCTGACAGCTGTCACGATCCCCACCATCATGATCATGGACTCTAACTCTCTGAAACTATAAGCTCAAAATAAACTTTCTTCTATGAGTTGCCTTGATTTTGGTGTTTTGTTACAGCAAGAGAAAACAGTTACAGAGGATTAGAACCCATGGCCACCATAGCAGGGATCATGTCAGCAGGCAGCCAAGGAAGTGGACCAGTAATTGAGAGCTCACGTCCAAGGACCAGATAGATCCTCAGCTGGCCTTGGTAGAGGTGTCTGTCGCATGGGTAATTTTGGTTAGCTATATTGCATTAGGTTGCCTGAGGAGAGAAGAGGGTAAAAAGTTGTCTAGCTAAAACTAAGAATACATGGAGAAATCCTATGGAAATCCATAAATAAAATACAGTGCGTGTGTGTGTGTGTGTGTGTGTGTGTGTGTGTGTTTGCTCGTCCATGTGTGTACATGTGTTAGAGACAAGAACAGCTGCTATGGTGAAACTTAGGCAACAGTGACCCTCTTGTGGGACAAGGGTACAGGTTAGCCAAGCCAAAGGGAGAAGGCTCAATGTCCTTGTTACCACACGTGGCCTTGGGATTCTCCTCTAGGCCTCTGATAAACTCCCAGGCCAGAAAGGGACATGGCAGTTGTAGAGTTGTGGGTAAGGTGACCCCATTCTTTGGCCAGTAGTGAGCAGCGGCCAATGCCTCGTCTATAGACCACAGGTCAATGAAGGTCCCACCTGGCGGGCAGATTAAAGGCAGGAACTAACATAAGAACAAAGTCTGTTTTTGTTTCTGAAGGTAGCTAAGGATGGGAGCCACACTAGGTGACATTCTCTGTCCATGACGCCTTGGGATCCTGAATGAGACCTGTAATCTTAAAGCTCTGAAGTTTTCACATGCATAATCAATGTTTCAACATTGCATGTGTTTGTTATCTTATTTCAAATTTGTGAGTTTTTATGAACAAGATTCCTGGAAAGAAGCTGTCACTACCAAGGCTCACTGACTGATTATAATGTTTCAAGTCCAGTGACAAATTAGTGCCCTTAATAATTATTTGTTTCCCTCTTCTATATGTGACCTAACACGTTTGTGACCACTAGGTGGGTCCTTTAGAATATCCAAACAGACCCCTAGCTCCTACCAACTAAAACACTAAGAATGCTGTCAGACTAAAGTGAGATAGGCTTTAATTCAAAAGCAGCTTGCTAGTGTGTGGTTTATGTCAATGAGAGTTGCTCTTTAACTTTGGAAATGCAACTCCTAATAACTGATGAGGTTGTTAGTTTGGCAACAGCAAAGCCAGACTGATGGTCCAGACATGTTATCTTCTGTGGGAGTCTTAGATACGTTAAATACTTCGGAAAACTAGGGTAAATAGAGAGAAGGTAGAGATGGAAGTAAAGTTTCCATGCATTGGTAGCTCAGCAAAAATGTCGAGAAGGAGAGATGCCTTTGGGCAAAGAGGAGACTTTTGGACTCCTAATTCTCAAAAAACCTAAACCAATGCCACATTGATAGGTATGTAAAGGGTTAAAAGGAATAACAGAAGACAAAGGGTTAAACTAGGTTTGCAGGAGTGGAGGGCAAGGTAGAGAAGGTACGTGTAAGGTACATGTAAGGATAAATAACATTAAAGTCCTTTTGAAAAAGCATATGGAAACCCAGCATTACATATAATTCCTAAAATATAAACACACCCACCCACCCTCAGAGTTAAAATGGCGTCGCTTTATAAAGAGGGCAACACTGTCCCTACTAGAGACCACGCACTAACAATGAAAAAGCCCAGTGTCAGAAATGGGTTACTTCTTTTGGAGTTTATTGGCCCCACTGAGGTTCCGCTGATCCAGAAATATTATAGGCCAACAGTCTTGGTTACCCTCCAGAACCTGAGTAAGACTCCACTGCTGAAGATGCCATGTGCTTTGAGACCCAGAAGCTTCACCCCTCCTCTCCAGCTCTTGTAGTCCTAGAAGGTGCTGCACATGCCGCTGGAGGAGACCCGTACCATCAGTCCTCCCTGGCTGTGCACCCGGGAAGCTGCAATAACGACCAACCCCACAGGTCACGCTCGCCGGGGCAACAGTGGTGCGGACATCATGGGAGCTAACAACTAGTTCCTGACTAGAGTCAAGTCCTCCACAAGATAAAACCCAGGCCTGACCCCATTATCAGGCCAGACAAGTCATTGGCCCTAGAGTGGAGAACCTAATACTATAACTCTTCCCTACTGTGAACCTACTGTTAAACAGACTCCTCATGACATAATTATACACACAGATTAATGCATCTTTAAACCTTCATCAAAGAAGCTTCCATTTACAATAGATGATGATTAGCACAGAGACCTACAACTGGCCACCCTATCCCTCAATGGCAATGCTGGTGGCACTGTCCTAAACAGGACTTTGGCCTTGGAAGTTTGGGTCCCAACAAAACTTTGTTTTCTATTCGTGGTAGAAAGAAAATTTGGTCATTTCTCTATGCTTATTATATATACTTCCCCAAACCTGGGAGGGATACTGAGCCCCCCCACAAAAGACCAGTTCCTCCAAACTGAACTTAAACTGCTGATTTTTGCCCCTCCTGGGTGCACATCACTGTTTGTTGGCTTCTAGCACCCACCACATCAGACTTTAAATTTTAGGGTCCCTTTCTTCAGCTGCTTCTCCTCCATCTGCTCTAACCACTCATCTCTCCTTGTCTATTCTGACAAGTGCCACTTGGAGCTGCCTGCTCAGCCTCTCTTTTGTTGCCTCATTAGAACCTGTCTCTGTGTCTCGTGGTTCCTGGAGCCTACTACCTCTACCACAAAATCATGTCAGTTTGTCACGCAGCCTCCCTACAACCTTTTGGGTGCCCATCATGTGGAGAGAGGCTCTTTCACTGATCCCGAACATCTCTCTGGAGAGTCTCTCAGTCTACTTGGGGAAGTTCTTCGACTGACACCAAGGCCTAACCATTTGTATCAAGACAGGGAAGCTTAAATGAAATCCGAGTCAAAGTCAGAGGTAGAGAAAGCAGGTAAGCAGTCAACGAGTTTAGTGAGGGACCACAGTTAGAGACAGGGGCAAGCTCAGAGATAGAGTAAGGAGGAAAGAAGATGCCCCCCAGAAGCAGAATCAAGAGAGGCCTGGGAGGGGAAGAGAGTAGCAAAAACTGAATTGAGAATGTACGTTGTATGAAATTCTCAACTAATAAAATTTGTTTTGTTTTGTTTTTTAATTTTTGGTTGTTTCCTTCTATCAATACATTACATAGACTAAAAATATCAAGTCTTGAGAGGGAAGACTTTCAAACTTTCAGTAGCAACCTGGTGTTGACCATACTTTGGAAAACTGAAGGGCCCAAGTCCACCCCTAGAACTGGCATTGCCAGCCACCTCTCAGGCCAGAGTGCTGATGGCCTCACTTGGGGGCTTGCAGCGGCAACCTGGGACACTGTGTTGAAAGGAGGAGTCCAGAAGCACGTGGGTTGGACTCAAGCAAGCCCGGTTGGTTGGCCTTACCTGAAACACGGGCAAGGGCAGTCAAGGAACGGTGTGCAGGGTATAAAAACTCTTTGCGTGTTCAGAATTGTTTAGAGAAGGGTCGATTTTCAACCACCAACCAATGCTGGACTTATTCATGGTTGATAACTGACGGCGGGACCTCTACATTCACCTAGAGGATAATGAGAATAGCTACCTGACACCTGAGGGGAGGAGACAAGCTGATCAGAAGGCTGCAGGTATCTTTCAGTCCTTGTTTCTCTGAAGCTTTCCTAAGGAGTCCTTCTGCCCTACCCACTCCCAGCACGTGTTTTCCTTTAGCTCCATTTCACCCTTATCCATCACAGCAGCGAATGATCTTGTATTCTGATTTAGAATTATCATGAAAATATCTCTCCCAGTACGCTTCGCCTTAAGAGTGCAGAATAACCCTAGTGGATAGCCTTATTATCTTAGGCATATGATTTTAATTGCTATATACCTTTGATTTTTTTTATGAAACCCCCAAGACTCCCAATTGCATACGGTTGCCGTGAACGTGACAGCAAGCCGTGTAAAGTACGAGCCCCGTGTAGATGCAAAATAAAGAGCAAAACGCTAAACACTCATTGACTAACCTGACCTATTTCCACCTTGGGATTCTTTTACAGAGCCCCCACTGTTTGGTTGATCCCTTAGTTCTCACAGCCCAGCAGCGGTACACGTGGGCCGGGTGTGTGGGCCTTGTCCCGAGACCGACTCCTGACTGGCTCTGCCAAAGAGAAAGCCCCACCCTCCAGCCTGCCAATCAGATCCACGCAAGAGCCCGCACGGCCGGTCCGGCTTCCTGTTGCTAGGCTTGCGAGCGTCAAGGGGCGGGCTGCGCGTGCGCAGACCACGGAGGCCGCTCTCCCGTTGGGCGGACCAGGGTGACGTCAGCGGCGCCGCGCGGGCCCGCCCACAGCCCGGGGAACGTTAAATCTGTGGGCCCGCTGATGGCGTCACCAGTCCGCGCCTGAGCCTGGCGACGGCCGAAGCAGCGAAGGCGGCAGCGGCGGCGGCGGCGACAGCTCTGGGGTTCGCGTCTCGGGGTGTGTCGGCCGCCGCTGCTGCTCAGGCCTGGAATGTACAGATGGCTGGCTAAGGTTCTCGGCACCATTCTCCGCCTGTGCGAGCGGCCCGCGCCCGGGGCCCGCGCCCTGCTCAAGAGGCGGCGCTCGAGCAGGTGAGGCGGCCGCGCGCCGGTCCCCTCCCCCGCGCTGGCGTTGGGCGCAGTCGGCCTGTAGGAACCGGCGGCTCCGGGACCGCGGAGGCCTGGGGCGAGTCCGCGCCCCCGGGGTGGGAGCGGAAGGGGAATGGGAGGCCGGCGTTGTGCCGCTGGCCGGATACAGCTCCTGTCGCCCGGTGTCATCGCGGGCGGGCAGCGCAGGGACGAGCCAGTAGGAGTTTGCCTATAGTCGTTTGACTGCCAATACTGTTCACTTCGTACCGAGGAACAGCAGTGGTCTTGTTTTACGGCAGCCGTCGGGGTGGGTGGGTGGGTGGGTGGGTGTGTGTGTAGGGCTAGAGGGGAAGAGAATGGTCCTGTTCCTTAGCATCCGCGTAAGAGGCAGAAAGAAAGTAGGTACCGCACTCTCCTAAGACTCGGTTAAAATCAGAGGGAAATAACAAATGTTACTACTTAGCACCTGCTCCCCTTTAAAGATTCATCTAGAAAACAAAATACTGTGCAAGTTCTGTACTCCCCAAAAGTATCTTCCCTGCCTCCCTCCCTCTCTTTACCTTTCCTTTCCTTTGCTACGTCTGCCTCACTTATTTTTATGACAATTTGCGTTTTCGAGTTAAGAGAAGTGGACGCAAGATTTCTTTAGGGGAAGAAGAACAAAATGATGCACAGCTGATTTTAGGAATGTAGGTCACTGATGAAATTGATTGTTAGCTAAGCCATAGCACATATTCCGGAGATATACAGCATCTTCAGCTCCGTGGGTTGCAGATTAGAATCATTTACGATAATTACAAAGTCCCCAAAGCAACTCTTACTATATACTACGTAAAGACAGTGTTTTGTTTGTTTGTTTTTTCTCTCCCAGTGTTTTATGCCAAGTCTAGTGCACAATCAGACTGCCTATTTATTGAATGGGAACTTTTAATCTCCTCACACTTACTCTCATTCATAGTCCCTCAGAGTCATTCACTGTCCAGTCCCTCTCCCCTTTGTGTGTGTGCCCAGGCCAGCCTTGAATCCTAGCTGCCTAACCCCTGCTTTTTACTGCACTTGGGGACTCACATCTTATAAAACAACTCATTTTAGGGTATGTCTTAGCGGTAGACATCATGCCTGTCCTGCTTTCAATTCCCAGCACTGGGATAGGGATTGTGGGGGTCAGTTAAGCGTTCTCCCCCAACCCCCAGCAAATACCTTATCACTTAAGGCTGCTTACATTGTCACTTGAATTCAAAACAAAACAAACAAAAAACTGTAATCCCAGCACTGAGGAGGCAGAGACAGACAGATCTCTGTGAGTTCAAGGCCAGCTTGGTCTACAAAGTGAGACCAGGACTGCCAAGTATGCACAGAGAAACCCCATTTTGAAAAACTAAAAAAACAATAAAATACTGTCTTTGGGGTCATTGTTTCAAAAACAAACGATGTGTTGGTTTAATTTGACCAGATTACACCATTCTGTGGTAGGGAGTGTTGGGTCTTTCTTAAGATTTAGAAATAGCATTCTGTTTTACACATTTCATCTCACGACTAGTAGATTGGAAGATGGCATGTTGTATGAAGTTTTTGTTTTGGTGCTAGGGGTTGACCCAGTGACTTTTCCATGCTAAACATGCTGTGCAACTGAGTCACATCTCCAGCTCTGGGTAAGTGTTTATAGAAATGTGTGTATTACCTATATACATATATACTTGTTTTCCTTTCTTTACAGCACTCTGTTTTCTACCACAGTGGACACCGATGAAATCCCAGCTAAAAGACCAAGATTAGGTACCACATTTTTAAAATGCATTTCTTTTAGTAGAGAAACTATATGCATGGGACAAAATTCAAAAGGTAAAAAGTGCAGACATGAAAAGTTGCCTCCTTCCTGACACCATTGTCTTACCTAGAGGTGACTGCTGGACGTGTGGAGTGTGTGGAACGTACTTAAGTTTTCTGTAATAAAAGGTAATTTTTCTTTTATGTTGAGGAAGAAACCAGTCAAATTGACTAATCAGATTTATCTGGCTGGGTGAACTTATCACAGACCTACTTTCTTGCATCTGACTGGTAGATGAGAATAAAAGTAGATTAAAGGGCAAGGCACAGGAGAATACTGTAGAATATCCTATGTTCAACAATGACCATGAATTTGGGTCTGTTCCAGATGTGATGGGACAGACTGTGTATCTGTCCCAAGTATCACTGTGGGACTTGTTGATACTTCATTTCAATCCAATAAATACCTATTGAGTATGTCTTTAAAGGAAAAAAATAAATAGTAGGCTTCTCTACAATCATACTTTTAACTATCTAAGAAAAAAGTGAGCTATTTTAAAAAATAAATATAAATAAATATTATCTTTACTTGAACGCAGTAAAATACATAAGGCACCATAACCAAAACAAAACAACTGGTGGTGCCCAGGGCCTGGTTAACACAGGCCTGTGATCTTAGCTACCAAGGATCTTGAGGCAGGTGGATCAAAGCCTGCTTAAATGATCCAATGAGACCTTGTTGCAAAGTAAAGAGGGTGGGAATATAGCCCATTGATTGTCTAATGTACTCAATGCCCAAAGGTCAGTCTCCAGTACCACAAAACAAAACAGAACTCTGATAGTGTTAGGAAAGTCCCTGAGCAGGCTGTGTATGGCACTCATCTACTTCTGTGCTAAGGATCACCCCACGCCACCAATTTTGTTGAATATCAAAATTGATTTTCTTAATGCAAACAGCAGAGAGGAATCTAAGCTGAAGATGAAGCCGGGTAAAGCAAATGCCTGTGTGTCGTCCACAGTGTGCTGGCCAGTAGATCTGTCTGTGGAGTACTTGAAATGTGGTTAGTTTAACTCAGAGAATTCAAAGTTTTTATTTATTTCTTATGGGAGGGGGGTTGAGAGGGAATTTCTGTGTAGCTTTGGCCTGTAGACCAGGCTGGCCTTGAACTCACAAAGATCCACCTGCCTCTGCCTCCCAAGTGCTTGAGATTAAAGGTGCATGCCACCACCACCCAGCTTGTTTTTAAATTTTTTAATTTAATTTATTTGTGTGTGTAGCAGACCCATGATTTATAGGTGAAAGCCAGAGACTTTGGAATTACAGGTTAGTCTTAACCCTGCGCCCTCCCCCTGCCCTGTTTTTGGATTGTTTGCTTACTCTGTAGACCAGTCTGGCCTGGAACCCAGAGATCTGCCTTCCTTTGCCTCCTGAGTGCTGGGATTAAAAACCTGTCACACACACACACACAGCCTAGTCTTAGCTTCTTCTAAAAAAGAGACAGGATGACCTTCCTTTAAAAGGGAGTACATGAAATAATTTAACACAGTATTAGGACATACCTGTATTTTTTCAAAAGTTATAGGAAAATAAAACATTCCAATACTTTAGTAGCTACTATTATGTTATTAAGAGGTACTTCTTGTCTTCTTAGGCCTGTGGAGTAAACACCAATCATTAATGCTCTTTTTTACTCACTTAAAAAGCACAAGAGTAGAAACATCCTTCAGCATTATTATAGGAATATCCTGGAATTATCTCTCAATTCCTAAAATAATAAACAGTTTGCGAATGTTTGTTAGTACTTTTTTGAGACAGAGTCTCCATATGTAGTACAGGCTGTCTTTTAAGTTCACTGTGTTGCCCAGGTTGTCTCCAACTTTGGATTCACCTTTTGAAGTTGAGATGCATGCTGGCTGTTGGTTTGGTTTGGTTTTTGAGACAGGGTTTCTCTGTGTATCCTTGGATGTCCTGGACTTGCTTTGTAGACCAGGCTGGCCTCAAACTCAAAGATCTGCCTGTCTCTGCCTCCATGAGTACTGGGATCATAGGCGTGTGCCACCTTTTATGTCAGCATGGCTTGAGCTAAAGACATTGGAGAGGAAGGAACCTCAATTGAGAGAATGCTTCCATAAGATCTGGCTGCAAGCCTGTAGGATTTTTTTAGTGATTGATTTGGGAGGGCGCAGCCCATTGTGATCCCATTGGACTGGTTGTCCTAAGTTCTATAATAAAGCTAAGTATGCCACAGGGAGCAAGCCAGTAAACAGCACTCCTCCATGGCCTGTGTATCAGCTCCTGCCTCCAGGTTCCTGCCTCATTTGAGTTCCTGCCCTGACTTCCTTCAGTGTGAACAGCGATGATGGAATGTAAGCCATATAAACCCTTTCCTCCCTAGGTTGCTTTGGTCATGGTGTTTTCACACAGTAATAGTAAGCATAATTAGAACAGGACAGGAATTACAAATGTGCACATCGTACTCAGCAAACAAATAAATTACTTCCAAATTGGATCCTGCCTTATCTTAACCACATTTTCTTAATTATCTGAGCCTTTCCCTCTTCTAGAGACTATTTCTTATTTTATCTATATTGGAACGCTGTTGCTATTTTTCTTTTTGAAACAGAAACTAGTTCTTTACAATTTCTTTAATTAGTGAATACAAAGGAAACTGTAGGCAACATAAATGTGAAGAAAGCTAGAAGGTTGTATTATAAAAAAGAAGGAAGTGGAGGAGCACCGAAATAACCCCCCCCCCCCCATTGTTTACTTCTCTGTTTTGTAATCTTTGGTACCAGGAAGAAATGAGCTTGAGATTGGCCAGTGCATCTGATTCAGTAGAGGGATAGCTTTTCCTTGTCACAGATGCTCAAGAGCTCTGTGTTCTATACTTCACTCAGGATTTATCAGGGACTTTGTAGCTGGTTTAAGGCAATCACTGTTGTTACCTGCCTTGGAAGGAAGGGCATAGTAGTAAGTAGATGTTGGTGTTCTCTATAGGTTTCCAGACCCATCAATATGTGTTCATATGTGCCGTTGTTACACTTCATTTTATGTAGTCTTCAGAGCTTACTCCTCAAAAGCTGCTATTTCAGATAATTTCTTGGTGAATCAGTTCATGGTTTACTAAAGTAATAGTTTAATGTTTTTGTAGCAGTTCCAGTAGTTGATTAAAACAAAATTCATGCGCTAGAATTCCTCTAACTCAGTTGGGAAATGTCTTATTATTCGTGTGTGCATGATGTACATGTGTGAATGGATTTGTGCTGAGCCATGCCAGTGGGGGTCAGAGGACAACTTTGGATTCAGTTCTCTTCATCTTTACACAGGTTCTGGGACTCACTCAGGTTTCTGAGCTTGCATAGCCTGCACTGTTACTAGGATCTCAATGGCTCAAAGATATTTTTATACATAAATTTTTATCAAAAGTAAGACTGTTGAGAACTAAGATAGGTTCTTTTCAAAATATAGTGTTTTTCTGAAAATTTAGTGTTCTGTGTTTATAGTTTGTTGATACTTTCTAGATTGCTTCATTCACCAAGTGAAAAACAGTCTCTACAATGCTGCCAGTTTATTTGGATTCCCATTCCAGCTGACCACAAAACCCATGGTGTCTTCTGCTTGTAATGGAACACGAAATGTGTCCCCTTCTGGAGAGGTAAGTTGGACTGGGCTTCCATACTGGTCTGTTTTTCTTTTTCTTTTTTGGGGGGGTGGGGGAGGGAGGGAGTTATGGGAGATGGGGCCTTGTATGTCTTTTTTTTTTTTTTAAGTTTGTTTACTTGTTTGTTTTTGAGACAGGGTCTCTTTAAATAGCCCTGGCTGTCCTGGAACTCATTATGTAGACTAGGCTGGCCTTGAACTCATGGAGATCCACCTGCCTCTACCTACCAAGTGCTGAAATTAAAGGCATGCCTGGCATAGGTCTTGTGTATCTTAAGCATGAGTCTACTACTATGTTATGCTTCCAGCCCTACACACTGTGATTTTGTACTTAGTTTTTAAAATTTGAATTTTAGTAAAATAAAAATAATTAAATTAAAAAGTACTTTCATAGTCTTTTGTGGAAATATATATAAATTGACTTATATCCATAAATGATCATGAATTTATTAGCTTTGATCTGAAGGTCATGAAATTAAAGATTAAAAGTTTAAATATTTAAAAAATATTTATAAAGAATATTAGGGGGCCAGCAAGATGGCTCAGTGAAAAAAAAGATACTTGCTGTTAAGCCTGATGAACTGAATTTAGTCCCTAGGACCCAAATTGTAGAAAGAACTGATTCCTGCAAGTTGTCCTCTGACCCACATACATATAAACACATACACATACACATAAACACAGAGAGAGAGAAAAAAAGAGAAGAGTTGAAAGCAATGACTTTGAAAAAGTATTAGCTCACTTAGCTTGGTTGCACACACTTGTAATCCTAGTGCTCAGAAGGGTGCTGCAGGATAATCAAGTTCGATGACCTTAGAAATTCAAGACCATTTGTGACAACGTAGTGAGACACTTGCTCAAAAAACAAAAGAAGGAAAAGTCAGGTGTAGTGGCTAACGCCTATAATCCTTAGGAGGGTGAGGCAGAAGAATCATAATTTTTGAGACTAGCCTGCCTACCAAGTAAGTTCCAGTGCCTGGGTTACAGAGTCAAACACTGCCTTAAAAACAAAAGAACAAAGCGGAGTGAGTGTGAGGTCGGCCTGATCTGTACGGTGAGTCTGTCTTAAAGAAGGAAATTTCTTACTTATTTAAGTATTTGTGGGAAATCTGTAATTATCCTTTTAACATTGTTTTGTCAACTTTTTAATCTTAATGGTGTTATTTCTATGTGCTAGCTTGAAAACAGTCATATCTGGGCACAGTGGCACATGCCTGTAATCCCAGCGCTCAGGGAGGCAGCCAGGTGGATCTTTGTGAATTCAAGGCCAGCCTGATCTACAAAATGAGTCCAGGACAGCCAAGACTCAAAACCCTGTCTCAAAAAAACAAAAAAGAAAATAATCATGAATAGAGTGAGCTTTTATAGTAAAAAATAGTTTCAAATTGCAAATCTGGGTGCTACAGAAGTGATTGCTTTATTTCAGGTGTTTTCGAGCTCTTCATCTTGTGAATTGACAGGTTTTGGACCCTGCAGCAGCATGCTGAAATTGGGTGAGGTGTCAAAGTATTCTTGCTCACTGTTCTTGTACTTGTAGCTGTGTCCCCAAAGTTTTAAGAATATTTAAGAAAAACACCCATTTGGATTAGGATGAGAATAAAGGCCTAATCTCTTTACTGTCCATAAAAACAAGTGTGAGTTTTATCTTAAATTTCTGGTACTAGAAATGTGTTTGGTTTTAGAGTTTTTCAGATTTGGGGGATATTTGCATGAACCCCACCAGTTGGGCATCTCTGAGCTGAACTCTGAAATCTGAAACTGGAAACCTCAGCATCCGCACTAAGGATTTTACTCCAGGATGTTCAGCCTGGAGCTCTCCTGTACAATTCTTGTCTGTTTAGAATTCTTGAATCCTGTGGTTTCTATTTATGTTAGCATTGTTCTTAATGTGACTTCAGATCAAGGCTCATTGATTAAGAAGCAGGAAAGGGCTGGAGAGAGGGCTAGGTATTTAAGAGTGTTTACTGCTCTTGCAGAGACCTGTGTTTGGATCCCAGCACTCACATCAGGCAGCTCACAACTGCCTGTAACTGCAGTTCCAGGGGATGTGATACCTTCTGCTGGACTCCATGGGTACCTATAGTCATATGCACATACCCACACAGAGAAACATATATATACTTACACATAATTTAAAAATAATAAAAATAAATCTCAAAAAGATATTCCTAAGAGTTTTCTGTGTGCCATGCATTGAGGCTAAATGGCTAGGAGTAAAAGAAGACCTTGTCCTTGCTCTGAGTTCATCATATATCTGTTGAGCAACCTTAAGTTCCTAATTCCTACAGCTGTATAGACTCTCTATTGCCGTTAGAGCTTGCAGTGGGATTGTAGTATATGTGCTACATGAAGTGCTATTGTGGGAAGCTCAGAAGAAGCCAGGGTTCTGAGAAATGGTTTTAGTGTCTGATATGGAGGTAGACTTGTAGTTTGAGAGGAGGAAGAGGAGGCTACTGAAAGTCGGCGTTAGAGAGCTTGAGGTTCAGAAGTCAAAAGCAGAAGCTAAGAAATTATGCTTTACAGTTATACTCCTCAGCATTTTTCATTAAGGTACTTCTTGTAGCAGAATTGCAAAGGTGAGGAAACATGGACCCCAGTGTATTAATTCCTTGGTATTGCAGTGACCAAAATAACTGAGAGGACAAACTGGGGAGAGAGGTTTGTTTTAGCTCGTGGTTTCACAGGGTTTACACTGTGGTTTCTTGTGAGGAATATCACAGCAGTGGGACTCTGTGACAGAGGACTGTTTACTTCATTGCAGACTGGGAAGCAAAAGGAAGGGAGAATATTGTTATTCGTTGGTTTTCTCCCTTCCTCCTCTTATTTCTAGGTCTGCAGTCCACATTCAGGATGGTCTTTGTCCCTCATTTAGTCTTCTGTAGAAACCTCACAGATACCCAAGACTTAGCTCACCAGTCTCATTAGTCAAGTTGGCAGTGAAGATTGGCCATCACAAGGCTACACCGTGTCAATTTAATAACCAGACACATCAACTTAAACCATTATACTCTGTGATCTCTGTGATTGAAAATTAGTTCCAGAGCCAAGCGTGGTGGCACACGCCTGTAATGTCAGCACTTGGGAAGGCAGAGGCAGGTGGATCTCTGAGTTCGAGGCCAGCCTGCTCTACAAAATGAGTTCAGGACAGTCAAGGCTAAACTGAGAAACCATGTTTTGAAAAACCAAAAAAGAAAATTAATTTCAAAGGACTTGAAAATGGTGATAGTTTTTTTTTTCTGAAGTCTTTTTGAAGTTTATATAAATTGAGTTTGAAATACACATACTGCTTTAATATCAGTTACTTGATTACTGCTGTGGTTTTGTGGGAGTTAGAGTCTCATCCATGTTAGGTAATATCACATCACAGCACCACTTTCCTAGCCCTGCCTTTGCTTTCCTTTAATTTTTTTTGTAACATTCATGTTGGATTACTATGCTTTTGAAAAGAGATTTAGTTCTATCATGTAAATAAATGTTCTGTCCTAATGCAGGCTGTTCACAATGGTATTTTTTCCCTTTCATTGCAAATATGTTCTTAAAGGTAATAAATCGCCTAATGGAATAAGTGACTATCCAAAGATAAGAGTGACAGTGACCCGAGATCAGCCACGTAGAGTCCTGCCTTCTTTTGAGTAAGTGTTGAATTCTACTTTTCTGTAAGTAGAACTGACTATTGTTAGGCATTTTCACTTTGTTTTGTTACATAGTATTAACAGGCGCTCTGAGGGTAATAGCTGAATATCATATGACTGGTTAGACTTGAATGTTTCTTTTCCAACTATATTGTGTGTCCATAGTATGATTTGGTTTTGAAAACCATTTTAAGATTTTTTATTTTTAATAATTCTGTGTGTATGAGTATTTCATATAAATGGGTGTCTGTGTACCACTTTCATAGCTGGTTCCTGAGGAGGCAGAAGCCACCCCTAGTCCTCTGGAAAAGCAGCCAGTGCTCTTCATCACTGAGCCATCTGTACAGCCCTGTTATATTATTTTTTTTCAATAACATTTTTATTTGTTTTTTTTTTTTTTTTTTTTATATTTTCACACAACGTATTTTATGTGAAAAGCTCAACTCCTTCCAGATCCTCTCCTACCTACTTCATGCATTTCTCCCTATCAAGTCCAGTTTGTGTTGCTAGCTACTCCTGAGTTTGGGACCTGCCCCGGAATATAATAGATATACCTGATGTTACTCCATCAAAGAAAACTGACTTTCCCTCTTCTAGAAGCAGTCAATGCCAACAGCTTCTCAGCTAGGGATAGGGTTTGTACCCACTGCCATGCTAGGATTTGGTCTGGCTTTAGCTTACACAGCTTTTGAGGCTTGAGGGGAGAGGTATGATACAGACAATCCATTTAGGGCTGATCATTCTAAAGTCGCTTATTCTCTATACACTGGCCTGATGTGGGTTTCTGTGTTAATAGCCGTCACCACAAGACGTTTGTCTGATAAGGATTAAGAGATGCACTGGTCTATGTGTCATTAAGAGACATTTTTATTGCTGTGTCCATCTAGCAAAATAATAGTAGTAGATTTTTCTCCTAGAGCTCAATGACCTATCTAGTCACATGGTCTTGGTCTTACTGACGGTGTCAGATATGGGCTCCATTTCATGGAGCGGGCTTAAATCCAATCTGAATTGGTTGGTTACTCCCATAAAATTTGTGCCACTATTGTAGCTTGCTGGGTTCATAGCTGGAGGAGTTTGATGATAACTTCTTTCTCTGGTGGTGTACACAGTTCCTTCTAGCACTGTGAAAGCTAGACAATATGGTTTAAGTTTTCAGTTGAGTATCAACTAGATTTCTCTGTTATGTGACTCACGTATGTGATGTTTTCAGGAATAGGGTCTTACTGTCAAGTTCTGGAGGGTAACCAAGAGCATTAGCAATAGCCTATAATGTTTAGGGGGTTGGTCTATAGGATTCTGTTAGTCAACAGCTCGAGAGGTAGCCCATTCCTGGTACTGGGGATTGTTTTTTTTTAATTTTTTTAATTTTATGTGCATTAGTGTGAAAGTGTCCAATCCCTTGGAAATGGAGTTACAGACAGCTGTGAGCTGCCATGTGGCTACTGGGAATTGAACCTGGGTCCTTTGGAAGGGCAGGCAGTGCCCTTAACCACTGAGCCATCTCTCCAGCCCGGTACTGGGGATTTTATTAGGTGTTGTGGCATCCAGTTAGGGAATACACTTTCTTCTCAGCAGCTATTGAATTTTCTCCAAAACTGGCCACATATTAGGATACAAAACAAGTCTCAGTATAAATGTAGGAAAATTGAAATAACATTCTGCATCCTCTCTGACCACAAAGAAAAAAAAGCTAGATATTAACAATAGTAGAAACAGCAGTAAGTACCCAGACTCATGGAAACTGCACAGCATACTACTGAGTAACAATTAGGTTAAGGGAGAAATCAAAAAGGAAATGAAAATCAGCCTAGAATAAATGAAAATGAAAACACAGTGTCTGTGTTTACTTCATGTGTATGGATATTTTGCCCATGGAGTCCAGAAGAGGATATTAGAACCCCTGGAATTATAGATAGTTATTAGATATTTTGTGGGCACAAGTGTTTTTACTCACTGAGCAATCTCACCAGCCTCCATGAAAACCATTTTTTAATAGAATTGGTGCTCACTTTTTTTAGACTGTATGTGTATATGAATATAGAAAAGTACTGAAAATTTAAATATAAATATGGATAAATTTTATGCACTGAACATACATGTCTGTAAAAATTATTTTCCAATAATTTCTTTCCTCTTTTTTTTGTTTTGTTTTTGTTTATTAGGCAGTGTTTCTCTGTGTACTGTACTCACTTCGTAGACCAGGCTGACCTCGAACTCAGAGATCCACTTACTCTACCTCTCAGAGTACTAGGATTATAGGCATGCACTATTGCACCCTGGAGCCCTGCCCTCTTGTTTTATTTATTTATTTTTTTTTAATACATTTAGTGTGTGTGTGTCTGTGTAAATTTAAGGACAGTTTATAAGGTTCTCTCTTTGTATCATGTAGGCTCCAGGGATCTAATTCAGTTCATCGAATATGGCATCAGCATCTATACCTACTGAGCTATCTTGTCAGGTGTCCTCTTTGTTTACTTACACTTTCTAGAATTCCTGTTGCTTTGATATCTAACTTCATAGTCTCTTCTTTTGTCTTGTTCCTTTTAAAATCATGTTTTGTCAGGTGTGGTGATGGAGATCTTTAATCCCGCACTGGGAGGCAGGGCAGGCAGATCTCTTGAGTTCAAGGCCAACCTGGTTTACATAGTTAATTCCAAGATAGCCAGGGTTGCTACATAAAGAGACCCTGATTCAAAAAATAAACAACCCCCCAACAAAGTTTATTGATTTTTGTTGTTATTGTTTGTGGGGTTTGTTTGTTTTAGATAGGTTCTCAACCACATTGTCCACACCAGACTGGAATTTATTATGTAACTTAGGCTGTCCTGCACTTACTGTGTTAATCCAAATTGGCTTTGAGCTCTCAAGTTTTCTCTTATAGCCTCTTTTTTTTTTTTAAAGTTCTCTCATGTTTTTTAAATTCTAAGAGTCCTCTCCACTCTGCATGAATTTTTCTCTAAGTATCTTGTTCCTTTTATAAATGTACAGTTCATATCTCAAAAGCTATTTATTATTTTTAAGTTTCTTTGACCCTGCTTTCTTTGTCACCCTCCAACACCCAGTGCTTTACTTGAGCCTGCCCACTGCCTTGGCTTATTTTAGTCTTATCTTTCAAGATAAGACTCAATCTTTCTTTATTAAAAATTCTGGGCCTAGAGAGATAGTTAAATCAATAAAGTGCTGGCTGTATAGACTAAATTTGGATTCTTAGCACTCATATAAAAGCTATCCATTGTAATTCGAACAGGGACTGTTTCTGATGTAAACGGATTGGCCTGCTCTTTAATTACCTCCCCCTGAGGGGGAAGCACCGTTACCAGGCCACAGAAGACAACGCAGCCACTCCTGATGAGACCTAATTGACTAGGATCAGAAGGAAGGAAAAGAAGTCCTCCCCTATCAGTGGACTTGGGGAGGGGCATGCATGCAGAGGGTGGAGGAAGGGAGGGATTGGGACGGGAGGAGGGAGAGAACCACAGGGGGGGTACAAAGTGAATAAAGTGCAATTAATAAAGAAAAAAAAAAGCTATCCCACAGCTACACGCATCTGTAACCCCAAGCGCTGGCAATGGGAGAACAGGCAAATGCCTAAGCTCATTGTCAACCAGTGTAGCTGAATTGATGAACTTCCAGGTTCAGTGAGGCCCTTCCTCAAAAAAATCAGGTGTACAACAGCTGAAGTAGGTGCCCAGTGTTGGTCTCTTGCTCTCACATACAAGTACATGCGTGCAAATGTGAACACATACAGACACAAACCTAGGGATCCATGCCTAACTACTTATAATTAAAAATGAAGGCTGGGTGGCTGGAAGAGTTGATTCATGGGTGGAGAGTGCTTGTTACTCTTGTAGAGGACCCAGCCATGTTCACTTCCCAACACTCCCATGTGTTGTAAGGTTCTGATGCCCTCCTCTGGCCTCCACGGGTACTGCATGCACGCAGTGTACAGCCATACATACAGACAAAACACTTAAACATAAAATATAAATCTTTAAAACATTTTAAAATGAAAGCCAGCTGTGGTAGCACATACCTTTAATTCCCGTACTGGGGAGGCAGAGGTAGGCAATGTCAAGTTTGAGGACAACCTGGTCTACATAGCCAGTCCCAGCCCAGCCAGGGCTATAGAGGGAGACCCTGCCACAAAGGAAAAGGGGAGGTCAGGGTGGGGAGAGGCAGACCAACTAACTAGAAACTGGGTGCCTCTGAATTTGGATGAAAGATAAACTGTAGAGCTAAAAGGGAAAACACAAACTGACACGAGTGTCTTGTATCAGAGCATTAAAGAGAGTCCAAAAACTGGTGAAATACCAGCCTGACGTGGGAAAAAACTTGAAGGTATTTTGTGGCCGAATAGGGGGCAATTTAAACTCCAAAGTGAGTAAAGCTCAGAATGCAAATTTCAATGGATGGATGTATATTGTGGAAAGGAAGAGCTCTATATAGCAAAGTGTTGTGTGTGAGTGCAGAAAGTATGAGAAGATTGATTTCCATGTTGTGGCCATCACAGCAATGACTGTATGGATAAGGCTTGGTTGCGCTAAAGTAGGGGTTTTATAAGGCCAAGAATATTTATGTTAACATAACATCTCCCCTAATTTCATACTAATTATAAAGGGAGGAAAGTAACTTGTTACAGAGAAATCTGCCTGATACTACCTTAATAAAAAGATAATTGTCAGTGATGGCACAAAATGACATCATAGCCTCCAAGTATATTGCACTGAGATGGACATCATTCAGTGTAATAGTTCTTGCAGAAACTGAGTATCTAAACTTACCTGTGAAAGTATAGTTTATTCTGAAATTCAATGCAGTCTACAAAACCAAAGGATGAAAGCATACCAGAGGTGTGCAGCAGCAAGAGGCAGTGTGAAATCTGTTGGCATAATGTTTCTTTGGACTGTGAACAGTTTGCCCTTGTTCATTCAAATGCTGATTTTTCTACCCTGCTACCTGGTTTCAAGCTACATGACATTGTAATGTTTATTCTAAGTATCTCCTATCTCAAGTTTGTGTAAACATGCCACCATTTGTTCCCTGTTCTGCTAATAAAACACCAGCTAGCTAATGCTGAGTAATAGAAGAGGGTAGGACATTTGGGTCCAGCGAGGAAAGGAGAGAGAGAGGAAGTAGGGGGTTTAGCCGTGAGGAGAGGACCAAGAAGAGGTGCATCAGGAGAAACGAACCAGAGCTAGGAGATGGTTAAAAATGCAAATATAAAGCTGGACACAATGTCAAAGGCCTATAATCAATCCCATCACTCAGGAGGCAGAGGCAGAGGTTTAGGATGGAATAATTATTGCTCAGTAGTGTGCTCTAGGCTAGTTAATAGATTCCATGTGTCATCACTTGGGTAAATAGTTGGCTAAAGATAAACTGCCACTAAAATTTGTGATTTATATTGCATTAATAATCCTTCTACAGAAATCTGAGTACTTGGGACTATAGGCATGCTACATTGTCCCAGCATAGAATTTGCTAGCATTTAGCCAATGTTTCCATGGTGTCCAGTGAGTAAAGAAAAAGTATACTATTAGGGAGAGAGGTATGTTCAGTCGGGGAGCTAAATCTGTGCCTGGGGTTGGAAACCTGCCTATGAGGAGGAGGGCTTTCATTTCACAGCTCTAGTGACCAGAACAGACATTTCCAAGTGGAAGGCTGGGATATCTAACTTTGCAAATGATGATTGTTTAGAAACTAGCAGTCTTAAACTAGAGCAACAAAATAATTGGCTGACGTAGGAACTTAAATCCCAATTCATGATGTGGTCTTTTTTTTCTTTTATTCTCCAGTTTTACATTGAAATCAGAAGGCTATAATAGAAGACCAAGTGGCCGTCGCCATAGCAAAAGCAACCCAGAGAGTTCCTTAACATGGAAACCTCAGGAGCAAGGTGTAACAGAGATGATTTCTGAAGAGGGTGGCAAGGGTGTGAGGCGTCCCCATTGCACTGTGGAGGAGGTAAGCCCTTTTAGCCTGATACCCACGCACGCAGGCACACGCCTGTCTTTGCCTCCAAGTGTTGGGATTATAGGCATGTACCACTGCACCCAGCTCTCTTAGCCTAATATCTTAAAGAAATGTTTTTAATGACTCTTTTGAGTAAAAATGTGTGCTGTGGCCTAAAATTCAAAAGGTACCAAAGGGGTACCGTGACTCTGAAGTGTCCCAGCACCCCTTCCCTTCGTGGTCCTCCCCCGCCTCCTTTGACTCTTAGTGACTGCTGTGGCTGTGCTCAGTAGCTCAGTATCCAAAGCTACTCTAGACATGTATAACTGAGTCAGGTTCAGCTGTTAGGTCCACTTAAAACAAAGAATCCTTCTAGGAAGAAATTACTATTTCATTTTATGTTTTGAAGACAGGGTCTCTCTACATAGCCCTAGCTGTCCTAGAACTCAGTATGTAGACCATACTGTCCTTGCACTCAGAGAAATTTGTTTCCCCTTCTGAGTGCTAGAATTAAGTACATGCACCATCATGCCTACATAATTTATAAACTTTAATAACCATCATTTTCCTCCCCCTTTCAGAACGCTTAGTGTGAGGAGGAAACAGTACTTCATTTCTCTCTTGAGATCTTCATTTATTATGGGATTGTTGAGGATTATTTCTGTCTCTGCCATTCCCCAATATCATCAGCTATTTTAATTCAGTAAAGAGTTTTGTGAGCTGTTTGATTCATCAAAGAAATACTTGCTCAAGTCCCAGATGCTGCACTAGCTTTTAGTAATTTAGGATTTGAATCCTAAATATTTTTGTCCCCTGCCTTCAGGAGTTTTACATAAATAACTTATAAGTCAGCAGACAGGCCAAGGGAATATGGGCCAAAGGCCCCCTGGTGTTTAAGTAGAGAAACTTGAGTGTTTCCGGAGACCTGAGATGAGACTGAGCAGATAAGGCTCTAGGACAATGGGTAGGCAGTCTTAGCAAGCACATGTTTTTTGTTTTGTTTTGTTGTTTATTAATTATAGTTTATTCACTTTGTATCCCAGCTGTAGCTCCCTTCCTCCTCCCCTCCCAATCCCTCCCACCCTCCCTCTTCTTGTCCCATGCCCCTCCCCAAATCCACTGATGGGGAGATCCTCCTCCCCTTCCCTTTGACCCTAGCCTATCAGGTCTCATCAGGAGTGGCTGCATTGTCTTCCTCTGTGGCCTGATAAGGCTGTCCCTCCATTGGGGGAGATGATCAAAGAGCTAGCCACGGAGTTCATGGAGCACATGTTTTTAATTGAGAAAAATAATACAGAGTATAATGTAAATGAGTGAAGGAGGGTAGAAGGCAAATGGCTTACATAAAGGGGATAGCTCCAGTTTGTTGACTCATTTTTTTGTTTTGTTTTTGTAAAAGAAGTCAGGGTTTAGGCTTTTCAAAAAATTTCATGAGGTTGGTACTTAATTAAAGCAACTTCAAAAAGTGCATCTGTGGGCTGTACCTCATCAGCCAGTGTCTGGTTAGATCTGAGTTTAAATGTCATATGCTACTACTAACCACGCATGCTTTCTTATTCAGGGTGTCCAAAAGGATGAAAGAGAAAAATACCGAAAGTTACTGGAGCGACTTAAAGAAAGTAGTCATGGAAATACTCTCTGTCCCGTAGCTTCACATCATAGGTAAGAGGAGCTGATAAGAAAATGCTTTGTTAGTGTTTTTCTTTAGCATTGTATCTGTTGTTTTTAATGTTTTTGGAGAGGTGTTGGTGTGAAGAGAACTTGCTGTGTAGTTTGTGTGACATGGTAGTACAGTGGCTTACAAAATGGAATTTTCTGTTAGCTGTAGAGTCCTTTGCCCACATGAATTCTTCTTCTCTCTCTCTCTCTCTCTCTCTCTCTCTCTCTGTCTCTCTCTTTCCCTCTCTTTGTGTGTGTGGTTTTTTAGGACAGGGTTTCTCTGTGTAGCCTCGGCTGTCCTGGAACTCACTCTATTGACCAGGCTGGCTTCGAGCTCTCATCCACCTGCCTCTTCCTCTGCCTTTGCCTCCTGATGATAAGCTTAAAGTCATGTGCCATCACTGCCTCGATAGTTTTTTGTTGGTTTTTGTTTGTTTGTTTTGTTTCTTTGTGGTTGTTTTGTTTCAAGACAGGATCTCACTGTCTAACACACACTGCTTGGAATTTATTATTCTCCTGCCTCTCAGCCTTCCACTTTCTGGGATTGTATTCATTTGATATCACATGCAACTTACATGAAAAAAAAGGGAATCACTTCCCAGCCTCCTCAACACAAATATTTCCCACAGTATGTCTCTCTGCCTTTGTCCTAGCTCCTTTCTTCTGCTCATCTTTTCATCTCCTCCCTCTTTTCTTTCTTTACTCCCTCACAGTGCTTTGTATTTCCTTCTAACACACACACACACTTGACACATAATCCCTGAGGTATCTGCTGGTTAACCGTTTAGCATCCTCTACTCAGAAACAAGATTCAAGTCGACTAGTCATAAGAACTTTGCTTATGACATTGCTTGTTAATTAAATTCTAGTGATTTGATGAGATAGATGAGAGTAGAAAAGGAAGTCATGTCTAGTCTTACATTTATCTGGAGGAGTGGGGCAAGAATGAACACGTTCAGAATTTCAGTTCACCTCATAATTCTAACAAGTAATTGTAAATACACAGGGTCCCATAAAGTATGGAACTATCAAGTTCAGTCACAGAACTATCCAGCTTTTTGAATACAGAAAGAACAAATTATTATTGACAATTTTAACTTGGGTTATTACATATTGTAGGTTTTTGTTGTTATTCAGGTGTTGTGGGTCAGTTAATGCTTTCTCCACTCTAAGGTCTTTCCTTTTGTGCCTGATCTTCCTCACTTTTGTCTTTCTAAGTTCTCAGAGAAGTCAAATGGACACATTAAAGACCAAAGGCTGGATGGAGGAGCAGAATCATGGAGTCAGAACAACTCATTTTGTTCCAAAACAGTGTGAGTTCCAGATTTAGCTTTATCTTAAGACATTGGCGTTAGTTCTTGTGCAAGTATGTTACTGAACTATGGTATACCAGGCCATAAAATATTGTTAGGCTTTAAGATTTTGGCTAGCACTTACCTAGTACCTGAAGTTTTATTTTAAAAAAGAAAATTGCTTTAAGATTAAGTTGATTTGTGAAATGCCTGTATAGTAGTATATTTTGTGAGACTAATTAATTTACTTAATATTAACTTTTTTATATTTCTCCAATAACTGTTCACTGAATGATTTTAGCTTACAGAATGAACTGCTGTCAGTTTGTGCTCAAGATTATATTTAAGGAAGAGAAAGTTCCATGTATTTTAGGTGCTTGTACGTGAGGTAGCTAGTGGCTTTGGAGTTCACATTAGTGTCAGTGCAAACAAATGACCTGGAACTTTGAAGCTGTCAGATGAAATTCCAGCTTGTGATTGGTTAATAAAGGGTCTTTTCTTTTCATCCCACAGATAGAGCTGTTGAAACAAGGGGACCTCTCTGTTCGATGAGAAGTGAAAAGAGGTACATGGCTCATTTCATTCTAAGATTCGTTCAGAATACGTTTTCTCACAAGTCACATTTACAAATAACTGTGAGGGATTGTGAATCCCCTCGGTCTGGTAGATAGTCAGCACTGAGGAGTAGGTAAATAGTTCTTTAGTCAGACATTTCCAAGCTGCCCCTCATCTCTTAGCCTTTGGGGGTTGGGTGGTATCTCCAGTGGCCACTGTCTCCAACATAGGAACAGCAAAGTAGTTCAGCTTTCCTTAGGATTTTGGATGGTTGTTATCTTACAGTAGACTTGCCCTTGGTCCAAATCTGGCCCATCTGTTTTTGTTAAACTAAACCACTGAGGTAAAGAAGTTGTGAATGAAGCTACAAAACCTGAAATATTTATTCTTAGGTCCTTTTCAGAAAGATGACCATTGGTTTAGAAGACTATGTAAACTCAAAGCCATTTTTTAAAAACCTAAGTGTTTATTATTTATAAATTATGTGTCAGGGTAGGTTTCAGGAAGGCATAAACTTTATCTTCAGAGAACTCCCAATGGGATAAAAATTGTGCATAATTTACAACAGTTAGTGAAATGTTCACGTGCTGTGAATCTTATATACTTCATAAGAGTAGAAAGAAATGGGTATATTAATATCTAAACAAATTGTACAGGAAATTTTTTAAAGTTTGTTGATGTTTACAACTTTTTTAAAAGGCTTATTGGACTTAGCTTCTCAAATAAATTAAGAAGGATTTACTGTCTGTTGGAAGAATTCCTACAATTCTGTAGGATTTGTACGCAATTGTACGCAATTCCTACAGAAGCCACTAAATGGAGGGAGGATTTCTTTTGACAGAGTTAATGTAAATCAGGAAGCAAAGAAAGGGAATGCTGGCTTGTAAGCAGCCTCCTTCCTCCCAGCTACCAGTCTGTGGAATGGTGCCTCTTGTATTCACGGGCCTTGTTCCTCAGTTCATTTCCTCCTGACAAGCTCTTGTAGGGACATCCAGTCTACTAGGTGGTTCGAAATTCAGTCATGATTAACCATCCACGAGTTCACCACTTGTCAACATGACACCCAGACACGTTACTGTAAGCCATAGCATTCTCACCCTGGTCCCCATAAGCTGAGGGGCCTCTTATAACTCAAGATGTATTCAGGCCAGCTTCAAAGAGCCCCATGATTCTTAACAGTCTCAAAAGTGTTCAAAAGTCTAAAGTTTCAGGGTGGGGAAGATGGCTCAGTTGGCAACCTGAGTCAGAAACAGTGGTACATACTTATAATCCCAGGGCTGAGGAAGAAGAGACTGGTGGCTCCCTGGGATTCAGTGGCTAGCTAAAACTAGACTACTTGGGAAATGCTAAGCCAATGAGAAAGATCCTATCTCCAAAACCAAAGTGAGCATCTCCTGAAAAATGACAGCCATACTTATCCTTTGGCCTTCACACACATGTGCAGTTTTACATGCAAGGCCAGAGATTTTTCTGAGAGCCCTATAAAGTCAACAGAAAAGTTACATATTATCTGTTTACAGTGACACAGAGTGAAGATTCCTACTCAGAAAGGGAGGATTGTAGGTGTTCCCAGGAAAGGTGGGACTAATAAAACAAACCATTGGAGCAGACATCAAATCCTGCAGCACCATGTTCAGTCCTGGATCTCTTGGTTATATTATCTGGTCTCCAAGAATAGTCCTGCCCTTCCACTTATGCTCACAGGACCTGTGTCCTGTCTCTTCCTCCACTCTGTGCCTGCAGCTTTCATCCAGACACCACACGATCCTGCCATCTCCAATAGTCTGATGTCTCCATTTACAGCCTCATGCAGTGGCCTCTCAGGGCCTCCTTGCTGGGAACTAACCTTGACATACATTACCTGGCTCTATTGCTTTCTGGAACATTGGCACAAGTCTCCATAACCCCATAGGTCTTGTGTTTTGCATGCCTGCAAAACTACTAGCACTATCTAGTTCTTCTAGTTTGTGTAATCTGACTTCTACTGCAGCTGCGATGGCCACTGTGCCTTTGTGGGCTGGCTGAACCTGGGCAAATACTTTCATAAACAGTATTGGTTCTGGCAACATTCTAGTTCAGGTATTCTTAGTCCAAATAAATTTACATTCTTACTAGATCTAAAGCCTGGGCTGGTTAGTTTCAACTTGGCATAACCTAGAATCTCTCAAGAAACGAGTCTTAATAAGGAATTGTCTAGATCACATTGACATGATATGTCTGTGGGAGATTGTCTTGATTTTCAGTAATGCTACCAAGTCTATTGTGGGTGGCACAATTCCCTAGCCAGGGGTCCTTAACAGTATAAGGGAGGAGAAAGTTAGCTGACAAGTTCAGGGAGTGTTTATTCTTTCTCTTCATTGACTATGAGATGTGACTAACTGTTTAAGTTCCTGCCTTGACTTCCCTAAAAAGATGGACACTGACTAAGCCAAATAAACCCTTTCTATCTCATGCTGCTTTTTATCAGTGTTTTGTCATAGAAACAGAAGAACTATAATAGCACCTTTGGCCCCAGTGTCTCAGGCAGAATGTCACATTTCTCTTTTATTGCACTAATTTCTTAACAATAACAATTGTTTTCTCCACACCTACCTTATCAGTAATTTTAAAAAATGACTCATGTTTCTTACCTTGCCAAACAGAACATTTCTCATAACTTTATTTTCTCCCATTACAGACCTAAGGGAATAGTAGTAGCCTTGCCACAATCAAGGCTAGTGTCTCTCCGAAATTTCTATATCAAACAACTTAGTGCATTACTTTTGAATTCAACCTCTCTCAAGTTTTAAGACTTCGATAGGTAAAAGCTAAAGTCTTTGTCAGGATATTACACAAGTGGTCCCTGGCTTCGCTCCTTATAGATTTCTTGTTACCCTGTGAGCCCTCATAATCAAGGCCTTCACATATGCATTACTCTTGTTATTTTGGTCTTCTAAGCACCCCCAAAATTCAGGAGCATTTTAGGGCTTTTCTAGCCCACAGTTCCAAATTCTTTCACATTCTTCTCACAAGCCAGTTCCAAAGGCCCACACACCTAGGTTTACCCAGGTGCTCCTGATAACATTTTCTGTGTTGGTTGCTTCTCTAATTGCTGGACCAAATGCCTCATGAGAAACAACCTGAGGAAAGAGGATTTATTTAGCTTATGGTTTTGGAGCATAGTTCATGATGGTGGTGAAAACATGACGGAGTTCATAGTGGGAAGCAAATAACTGGGATCCCTCATATTTTTATAGATTTGGAAGCAGAGAGAAATGCATCCTTGTACTCATTTCTCCTTTCTTTTTATTCTACCTGGGACCCTAGCCTGTGGCATAGATAGTGCTGTCCCCAGTTAGTGAAAATCTTGTTCGGTTAAAGCCTATCTGGGAATACCCTCAAAGATGCAACAGCGGTGTTCCTCACTAATGCCCCAGATGCTTCTCGACTCATTCAGGGTAAAAAACCAAACTGCCCATCGCTTGACCAGCAGCAGATAAGCTGATATTCTACTACTGCCCCGGCACCCCACCTCACCTAAAAAAAAAAAAGTTTGTGTTTGCAATTGATAGTTCAAAATGCATCCAGGCCATCTGATTCCCCGTAGCCTTACCAGCTGCAGTATTCAAAAGGCCAAGTTCAAAATTTTATTAGAGTAGCTGGAGAGATGGCATAGTGGTTTTAAAAAGATTTATTAATTTTATGTTATGTTTGCCTACATGTATGTAAGTTAGGTACTTAGGTGCTTGTTGTCCATCGAAACCAGAGAAGGCTTCGTATCCCCTAGAACTAGAATTATAGAAGGTTATGAGTCACTGCGTGGATGCTGGGAACTCTACAAGAATAGCAAATGCTCTTCAAAAAGACTTGTCAGAGACTTCAAGCACCTTTTAGCTATGAGCGCCTATAAAAATGCAAATGGTGCAGTTCTATTTATACTGTGTCACAAAATAAATAGTCCATTCCCATACATCCATACAAAGTAAATAATGGGGATGTGGAAAAGAGCAGTGAGACCAAAGCAAGACTACACAACTCAGCAGAGAAAGCATTAGATCCCGTAGTTCCATATCCAAAATCTTAAGCTATGTGGTGGCAGGTTGTGAGTTGGCCAGCCCTTTCCCTGGCCTTGCCATTGGAGCTACTGAGTTTATGCATTATACATGGCTTTCCTCCAACACACTATCGTCTGCATTGACACTAGGCTTTACTCCTACCCTCTCAGACCCCTGACCCACCCAGGGAAGTTGACCCTTTTACACACTGCCTAGTCTCCAGGCCCTTGGAAATCAGGTGACCACCTCCATGACCCTATACCTCCTACATTTTGTATGCCTGCAGAAATAGTACCACATGGACAATACCCAGGTTTCTTACCAACTTGATGAAAGCTGAGCTCTTTTGGACCACAGTTACTATGGCCTCTGAGTATTTAGGTGGATGACTTTAGGCAGCTTTCTGCAAAGAGGGTAACCTTTGTTCTGTCTTTAAAATGAGTTTACAGGGCTGGCAAGATGGCTCAGGCACTTGCCACCAAGTCTGAAGACATGAGTCTGATTTCCAAACCTCCTGAGGTTGCCCTCAGATTTACACTTGTGTGTCACAGAACATTTGCTGCCCCCTAAATAAATAAGTTCAAGATTACAAAAAAATAAATAAATAAAAACAAAACAAGACAAAAACCTGTTCTGAAAACAAAAATCAGTTTCTTGCTCTAAAGGGCTAGTTTCTTATTTTAGGGAAGAGTACCTGAGTGCTTTCTTTTGCAGGGATGGTTGGGGTGAGCCTTAGCAGCACTTTAGCAGTACTAACATTTTTAACAATTGCATCGTTCCTGCCCATTGCTCTCAGTATGCTGTTTTCAGATCCTTTTTCTCTGCATTTTACTTCCAAGTCTTCCTGTAAGCTTGGCTAAAAGCTTCCAGCAATAGTCATGCCACATCCTGCCTACCAAGCTGCCTTTAAAGTTCCTTTGTTACTTTTAATTAGTTTGCAACTGCGTCCCCAGTTTTGTTTTGTTTTGTTTTTTTTTTTTTTTTTTTTTTTTTTTAAGGGAATGGGCAGAGAGGGTGTGTATGTGTGTGCGCACAAGCATATAAAGGTTAGAGGTAGAGATATTATATGTCTTCCTTAGTCATTTTCATTTTCCTCATTCATTCATCTATTCATTCATTCATTCAAGATTGGTCTCCCACTGGACCTGGAGTTGATTTGGCTGAACTGTCTGGCCAGCCATCTCTGGGATTATGAGCATGTGCTATTGCTCCTGGCTTTAACATGGGTCCTGGGATCAAACTCAGCACTTTACTCATCCATCTCAGGCCCCTTTTCCAATCTCTTGAGACAGGGTCTTACTATGTAAGCAAGGCTGATCTCAAATTCATGATGCTCCTGCCTCTGCCCACTGAGCTGGCATTGCAGGCATGCACCACCTCTCCCTGCATCCCATCTTCTTTAAAATCACCCTCAGATAATGTTTCAGGTTGCAGAGAAACTAGAATCACTGTTCACCTGATGGTACCCTGTCCTGTCTGAACCTAGTGAGCACAGCCTAGTGTCTGCATTGCTCTTGGCATTCTGTCTTCTCAGCGCCTGTCAGAATCTCCCAGTGAGCTCTGCCTACAGAGAGCACCTCGCTACGCTATGTCTCCCCTTGTCTGTATTCTTAGACACTTCCAGCACTGTGAGAGCCACAGAGAGGTTTAGTCACAGCAGCAGCCCCACTTCTCTGGCCTCCATCTTACATGTTTCCTTTCATTGCTGTTAAAATGCCTGACACAAACATCTTCAGGGAGAAAGAGTTAGAGAGGTCAGTCCAGCACGCTGAGGAGAGCATTAGAATGGCACGTTTATTTATGGCAGGCCAGGAAGCAGAGCTGGGACAGGGCCAGCACTCTCGTGGCCACTTTTCTTTAGAGATTAATACATCCTAATTTTAAAATAAAAAAAAAAAAAAGTTGAGACAGGGTGTACAGCCTTGCCTTGAACTTATTATGTAGCCTTGAGCAACTCATATTCCTGCCTCAGCTTTCTGGGATTTCTGGGTTCTGGGATTACAGATACGCACCACTATCCCCAGTTATATAAGCCTTACCTCTGGAACTAATATGTACATGTTAAACAACAGAACTCTGTAAATCTGTAATGGTTTCTTCCTTAGGTATTTAAAGGGAAGAGCTGATACAGAGAAGGTGGTGGGACTCCGATTTGAAAAGGAAGGTGTAAGTAGAAGCCCTTGCTTGGTAAATTTTAATATTTGCTTTGTCATTGGACTTGACATTTGATGCCCATGAGAAATAAGGAAGATGGTATTTGTTCTGTGCTTTGCTCTTTTGTTTTTTGTTTTTTGAGATATGGTTTCTTTTTGTATCCCTGGTTGTCCTAGAACTAGCTCTGTAGACCAGGCTGGTCTCGAACTCATAGAGATCCGCCTCCCAAGCATAGGGATTAAAGGTGTATGCCACCAGCACCTGGTCTACTTTCAATGTAAGTATTAGAATCAGTGTTTCAGTCATCTCTGTGGACATACTCAAGTTTTTAATAACAAAGTATTTAGCTAAACATTTAGTATCTGGCAGAACTCTCCTTCTCTTATCCCCCTTTCTCTCTCCCCCTTTCTCTCTCTCTCTCTCTCTCTCTTTCTCTCTCTCTCTCTGTCTCTGTCTCTCTGTCCCTCTTCTTTCTCATTCCAGGGTCTCATTGTGTAGCCTTGGCTGGCCTGGAACTTACAGAGGTCCGCCTGCCTTCCTCCTGATTAATTAATTGACCTTCTGCTGGGAGCAGATGGTAACTACTTGGCAGAATGAAGAATGCTCACTGGTATCCTGAGACTCCTGTAGCTCTACTCCAAAGTTCTAAATACTTTTCTAAATACTATTTCTAAATACTTTCCTAACTCTTTTTTCTAAGGTGTACACTTTGTATATGCAGGGCAAGTGCTCTACCACCGAGCTACATTCCTAATCTCCAGTCCTTGGAGTTTTGTGAAGGTTTTCATTATGTTTGCATGATTTAATTATTGGCCTTTGGTGATAACCTTCCTGTTTAGTGCATTTTTATAGTGCATTGTTTTTTTTATAATATAAACGAAATAGAGGGCTACACTGTAGTTAAGTGGTAGATTGTTCATCTGGCATGTTAAAGATCTTAGGTTCCAACCCCAACACAGAAAAGGGAATAAATAAATAAACGTAGCGTTAACACAGGGTGACTTTGAATAAGGACAGACATAGATTCCTCTGTATGGTGCTCTGCAGGCCATACCTTGTATCTTTCTAAACTTTACAAACATGTTTTAATTACATTTTAGAATGGGATAGGAACTGAAAATGCTTTCCTTTCTATTTTCCAGAGGAGTGCTGACTGTTTCTGTTTGTAACTGATACACCCCATGGGCCTTTGTTTAGCTCTGAATCTTATTCTCACCCTTGCCAGGGCAGGCAGACAGGCTGAGTCTGTTTTAGCATCAGGAGAGTTGCTAATTCTTGTATTCATGCTCTCTCTCTCTTCAAGTTAATGCCAGAGGGTTTTGTTTTGTTTTGTTTTGTTTTGTTTTGTTTTTTAAATAAATCTTATTATAAGAAGTATCACATACCAAAACTGACCAGACCCAAAGTCTGTGCATCTCTGTGACCTGTGCAGTAGAGAAGCCACTTGGAACAGAAGCTGTGGAGCTTCACATTGGCTTTTACACTTTCACCATCAAGTATATTTGTGCACTTCCCAAAACAAAAATCCACAACAGTTAAAACTAGAAAACAACTAGCTTTAACCTTCTATAACTTGTACAGCACTTTATACTCTCTATGTAGTGTGTGTTATATGTACAAGATCAAGCATGTCAATGTTGAAACTTTTTTGGTCAGACAAGAGGACACCAGTTGGAGCCTGACCTGTCAGAGGAAGTGTCTGCCCGGCTTCGCCTGGGAAGTGGAAGCAATGGCTTACTGCGGAGGAGAGTATCAGTACTTGAGGCAAAGGAAAAAAACTTTGCAGGCAAAGAAAAGGACAGAAGGACTGACGATGTCTTTGAACTTACAGAGGTATAGTTCCTTGTGCAGATCAGGGTTAAGATGGCTAGTTTACACTAGCCACAGTTTCTATAGCGTTAAGTTTAAGGCATGCTTTGTTTTGAGGAGTTTTCTCCAAATAAGGAACAAGTATATGAACTTAAAGAACAAAGCTGGACTTGAGGCCTGCTTGTGCTAGCTGTATTGATTCCTCATGGTCTGTGTGAAGGTGGCTTGGCGACTTAAAAATATAATTTGTTTGGGAGGGGGTTGTTTGTTTTGTTTCTCTTTCTGAAACTGGATCTAGGTGTTTTTCTACTCCTCAAATGTTTTAGTTTTAAAATATGTTATCAAGAATGAACGTATTAGATGGACATGGTGGTGCACATCTTTAATCCCAGCACTCAGGGTGCAGAGGCAGGTGGATTGCTGTGAATTTGAGGCCAGCTTTTTCCACAGAGTGAGTTCCAGGATGGCCAGGGCTACACAGAGAAACCCTGTCTCAGAAAAACTAAACCAGTCTTAATAATGGCTATCTCCTTGAATTACTTGAATGATTATTTATGCAGCTAAATATATATTTATCTCATGAACCCAATCGAAATTATTTCCTTTATTGTTTTTTCTCTTTGCATACAATTTTGTTACTTTAGGGCTTGATTTCTTTGTTTAGCTTTAATGTTCATCTTGACAGGACCTAAAAAGAAAAGAATTAGAGCTAGGGATTACCTACTTTTGTTTGCCATGGAGGTAAATATGTGGAGTTTGTCTTCGCTAAGCCAGTTGATGTGAGGGAGCCAGAAGAGTGGATGTGTTATGCCTCGCTGGAATATATGAGCTCACACCTAGAAATGTGAGCGAAAATAAACTACTCTAAGACACTTTGTGTTGGGCTATGTTATCATGGCAGTGAAGATATAAGAGCTTCATGTACAGTGTAAGCATTACCAGGATAACAGGGAGGAAGAATCAGGGTGAGGAACCTGTGTAGCCCTGGCTATTCTGGACCATGGTAGACCAGGTTGGCCTTAAACTCACAGCGATCTACCTGCCTCTGCTTCCCTGAGTGCTGGGATTAAAGGTGTACACCACCACTGTCCAACTTATTAAGACTGTTTTTATAGTTGTAAATTTGTATGGTTTTACACTGCAGTTTTGTAGATCTTGAATAGTGGTTTTTTTCAAAGGTCACTGGTGTTGTTGGGATGGCTTTTTTTTTTTTTTTTTTTTCAGTTTGAGGCTTTTGATACTTGTTAGTGATTCTGTGCTAAAGCAGCATCCTCTGAACTTCTATTACAGGACATGGAAAAGGAAATCAGTAATGCCCTTGGCCACGGGCCACCAGATGAGATCCTAAGCAGTGCTTTCAAATTGCGAATTACTCGAGGAGATATCCAGACCCTAAAGAACTATCACTGGCTCAATGATGAGGTCAGTGCCTTCTTTCCCTGCTTGACTGGCAGTCTGCTTAGTCATCTACTGCCCTAATCAAAGAGACTTCCACCCAGGATAAGGGCTTGGTAAAGCAACTTCAGTGTCTGTTTTGCTGCCATTTTTTCAGTGCCAGGGAAAGAGCTCCCATTTACACAAGCAAGTGCTTTATGTCCTCCACCCTCTTCCCCCCCCCCCTTTTTCCTTTTAGCGTTTTATTGTGAGACAAGTTTCCACTAAGTTGTCTATGCTGGCGTATCTTACATAGCTCAGACAGGCCTTGAACCCTGTTGTGATCCACCTGCCTCACCTCATTCTTCTGCATAAGGGGTTATAGACCTATAGACCTAGGTTATATCCTACCACCCCAGCTGTTCTTTGTGGGTTTGTTCTGTTGTTTCTCCATGTCAGAAATTGGACCTAAGACTTTGTGCAAGGTGCAGCACTTGGCTAGTAATTTTTAAAGCAAAAACATATCAGTAAAATTTTATTTGGGTGGATTTGTGTGGTGGGATATGCTTTAATACCAGAAGAACTCAGGAGGCAGAGGCAGGCAGATCTCTTGTTCAAAGCCAGCATGGTCTACATAGTGAGTTCCAGGCCAGCCAGGGCTACACAGTGAAACCCTGTCCCTGAGCTCAGTGCCCACATCTTCCCTGTCTCCTGGTGATAAAATGACAGGGAGTGGTACTGAGCCTTCACACAGGAAGGGAAGGGGACTGCCGCGCCCTCTCTTTAGATTCTTTAGAGCTAGTCTCATCCACGAGGGTACAGTGCTCACGAGCGGGTCAGTGCCTACTGCTGTCATACCGAATATTAGATTGCTGTAGAAGTATTTTAGAGGAAGGACAAAAGAGATGATGCAGTACTTAAGAGGATCTTTGCTTGGTTCCCAGCACCTGCATCCTTTGACTTAACAGCCTGTAACTCCAGCTCCAGAGGATCTTATGCCTCTGGCCTCCATAGGAACCTGCACACACGTGCATATACCTGCATATATACACGTAGAGCTTAAAGAAGTTTTCATTGACATGTGTGTTCAAGCCTAGAAAATGATAATATAAAAAGCTATTTGATTATTTGAATCAATTCAAAACCAGCAAAAGCTGACCTAGTTCCTGGTACTTTTTCAGGTGGCCCTTTAACCAACTTCTCTGTCCTTGAATTTTCTCCCATATGCTGTCTCCCTATGTCATAACTAGTTACATGAAAATACTGTCATTTATAGATATAACTGTAAATATGCTTCTTATAAAACTTTTGAAAATGTTTTATATATGAAAACATTTGAAGAAATTATTGTTCAAAATTTCCATAAATATTCTGGCATTTCTCTTTTTGGGAAGTATGTTCAACTTGAGGTGTATTTTGGATGTAATGCTATAACTAACAATTCATTTTTCTGCATAACAGTTGCATATGCCTTTTTATTATTGCATAAAAATGTTATCCATGTGCCTCAAAATTATAATCACATGACTTGCTGGGTTTTCTTTAGGGAGATGGTCTAGTACTGGGAATTGCATGTCCTAGGCAAGGAGCTCAGTGTCTAGCCTGTCATCCTTCTTTGCCTATTTGTACAGAGCAGTTTTCTGACTTGTTGTATGGACTTTCTCTTCCCTAAGACTCTCACTTTCTGATTCAAGTAGGATTTAATTTTGTAATGTATTTGCCATGTTCAAATTTTAATCTTTTGTTATTTTACAGGTCATTAATTTTTATATGAATCTTTTAATGGAAAGGAGTAAAAAGCAGGGCTATCCAGCACTTCATGCATTCAGTACATTCTTCTATCCTAAGTTAAAGTCTGGGGGCTACCAAGCAGTGAAAAGATGGACCAAAGGGGTAAATCTCTTTGAACAAGAACTTGTTTTGGTACCTATTCATCGGAAGGTACATTGGAGCCTGGTGGTGAGTTGAAAGGGTTAATGTTGGAGTTTGGAAATAGATTCCTCCTTCTCTTCCTCTCTCCTCCTCTCTTCTCCCTCCCTCACCTCCCTGCCTCTCCTTGACCTTCTCCTCCTCCTTCTCCCTTCCCTCTTTTCTCTGTCCCTTCTTTCCTTTCTCTCCCCCTTTCTTGTCCTGGGGATCAATGCCTGAACCTTAAACATGTTAAAGAAAGGCCTGTATTGCTAATTGTGCCCCTACTGTAGATGATTTTCCTCAACAACGAAGGCTGCTTTTACTCTTGCAGTGTGTGAAAGGCAAGCTCTGCAGAGGCCTTTCTAAGTGTGATTGTTCAACTTCAGAAGCTATGAGGCATGCTTTGAGCAGGGGCTTTCACTTTTACAGGAAAAGTGTAGGGGAAAGCCCATACTAGGAAGATTACTGACGCCTGGTGAGAGTTTCCAGGCTTTTGTATAGAAATTGGAGTGTGTTCTGTTAATCTCAGACCATCTGGGATATTTATAACTTGAACTAAAAGTTTCTAAGTCTGTTCATATTGCTACATGTGTTAAACATTTAAAGATGCTTCTGTTTTTTTTGTTTTTTGTTTTTTAATAAATAATAAAATGTTACTACTGTTAATGTTTATGTTGTTTCTGGCACAGTATGGTAGTGCATGCCTGTGATCTTAGTACATTGGGGGCTGGGGAGAAAGATCTGGAGTTCAAGGCCAGCCTGGGCTACATAGTGAGACCTTGTCTCAGTAAAATGGAACAGCAAAAACAGATGTCTAAGGATTTTGCCTTTTCCCATTATAGGTGATGGACCTAAGAAAAAAGTGTCTTAAATATCTGGATTCTATGGGACAAAAAGGCCACAGGATCTGTGAGATTCTTCTGTAAGTAAAGTCTGAAAATCTCAATCTGTTCTGTTGTATAGTCTCTTGTGTTTAATCTTAAGAAGCTCTGGGTGCCTGTCTTCATATGTAGTTATGAAATAATATGTAGTGAGTGATATGAAGGGCTTCACTTTAGGACTTTGTTATCTATCCTTGTCTAAAACCAACCTAGGAGCTGATCTCAGCCAGAGTTCCTGTTTGCCAGATCATGAAAAACAACTCTTCAGGCCTTTCAGTGTAAGGTATATTCTCAAGAATTATGATTGTAATTAGTGAGCTGGGTATTCTGAAAAACTGTTAGCCAGGGGAGTCTTGGCCTCTAATCCTGTTGGCAACTTGTATCTCTGTGTTTTCTATAGTGGGGCTCTTTTCAAAGAACTTGGGTTGCTTTGTTTTGTTTTGTTCCTTTTGGCTTTTCAAGACAGGGTTTCTTTGTGGAGCCTTAGCTTTCCTGGACTCACTTGTAGACCAGGCTGGCCTTGAACTCACAGAAATATGCTTGCCTCTGCCTCCCAGAGTGCTAATGAGATTACAGGTGCTTGCCACCCTGCCTGACAAAGTTGTTTTGTTTTTTGTTTTTGTTTTTCCAAGATAGTGTTTCTCTGTGTAGCCCTGGCTGTCCTAGAACTCACTCTGTAGACCAGGCTGGCCTTAAACTCACAGAGATCCTACTGTCTCTGCCTCCCAAGTGCTGGGACTAAAGGTGTGCACCACCACACCCAGCTTAGTCCCCATTGTCAGGTGTCTATTCCAGGTGAGCGTCTGCAGCCACAGGCATTGCAGAAGCAAACTGTGTGGACTGTGTGTTATCTCATAGTATGAAAGTTAATCTGTTTTCCTGTGTGTTTCTGGAACCTTTTCATTGTTATTTTTGCCTTTTGAGGGCCATTATTAAGTAAAACAATTGTTATTTGGACACAAGGATTTTGCTGTTATGATAGTAGGTCTGACAATCATGACAGCAACTAAATATAGATAGGTGGGGTAGAGCAGGGCTTCTTAAATATTCCCAAATTCCTTTTTCACCTGAGAAATTCTGTGTGTCCCTGTGTACACAGGCACATAAAATAGCATACACTCAAACATTTTTTAATAACAAGTGGGTCCTGGGAATTGAACTCAAGTGGGCAGGGTTGCCAGCAAGCACCTTTACCAGCTGAGCCATCTTGATGACCCCAAACAACAATTTTTCAAGTCAGACATCCCAACATGATACAGTTCAGAGCTATACTCATTTGATACTTTTATGCTGAGGAATGATGGTAGGAAAATAGTAAAAGTCTGTTCTCTATAATTAGACTAATTTGTTTCTGTGGAGCAGAAAGCTGTGTACATTAAAAAACAACAACAACAACATAAAACACTGTAGTTCATAATGTACAGTAGTCTCGAGTCTGAGGTGAGGTGTACAGTCAGCATGCTTGGCGGTGTATGGCACACGTGGTACACAGGACACATGCTGTGTATGGAGAAGTGAGGCTGCAGTGAAGCCCCAGTGCTGCTGATGCAACAGGCTGCCCAAATACTTCATTAGTTCAAACCATGTCATCATGCATTTGATCTGGTTATTGAATATTCAGAAGTCTTCTGCTGTTGCCATAGTTTTGTGTTCACCACTGTTAGTCAGATGTCCCCATATCATGTTGTGACCCACAGGTTAGAAGCTTAGGGGTGTATATTGTGAATGTTCTGCATAAAGCAAATGGACCGGATTCTCTTCATGCTACTTAGGACAGTGTGCAGTTTAAAAATTAAGAAATGCTTATTCCTAGAATTTCCATTTTTGGACTGAGATAATTGAAACCACAGAAAGTAAAATATTGGAAGAGACTCCATTAGTAATTGCTAGAGAACCCCCCTTTAAAGCATAGCCACTTCTTCATTGTGCTGATGGTTCTGTACTTAAAGCACATCAATAATGGCAGTATGCTGGATAGTTTTATGCCAGCTTACACAAGCTAAAGTCATCCGAGAGGAAGAAACCATAGTTAAGAAAACACCTTCATAAGATCAGGCTGTAGGAAGCCTATAGGGCATTTTCTTAGTGATGGATGGGGAAGAGTCCAGCCCACTGGGGGTAGTCCTATCTCTGGGCTGGTGGTCCTGGGTTCTGTAAGAAAGCAGACTGAGCAAGCCATGAGGAAAACGTCAGTAAGCAACACTCCTCCATGGCCTCTGCACCAGCTCCTGACTCCAGGTTCCTGTCCTGGCTTCCTTCAGGGATGGACTACAATGTGGAAGTGTAAGCCAAATAAACTCTTCCCCGTGTGTTTGGTCATGGTGTTTTATCACATCATTGATAACCCTAACTAAGGCAGTAAATCTTTCTTAAACCTTTGACAACTGCAGCAAACGCAGCGCCTGCTTTTTAGTAAGGATGAACAGACATGCTACATTCTTTTTACAAAGAACAGTTATTGAAATACTCACTTTTCTTAAGGCTGTTGTGCCCTCCCCCACCTCTCCATAGCTTGACTAAGTTCCAGAAGAAAGCCCAAATATCCAAAAGTTTATGGGCAGCAAATTGGACATGATGGTTTTGTTTATTTTAATAAAAGAGGACACAAAGTTTGGGAGGGTAGAAAAGGGTAGGAGTTGGGGGAGGGAAGTCAATATGATCAAAATACATGTACAGAATTCTCAAAGAACTAATAAAAAAGTGGTTGTCGAGAGCTCAGTGTTGTTTTTCTTCAATATTTTAATATAGATCCTTTTTATTTATACCTAGACAAAAAAAGTATAGAGAAGAAATGCTTAATAGCAGATACTAAATTGTTTATAATCCGTATAGCATTTGTTATGTAAAGTTTAAAGTGTAGACACGTGTGTATATACATATATTATCCCCTGCATAGAGATTTTCCAGTAAAATCACACAGTATACTTTTTCTCTGCTGCTTGTTAATACTTTTAATATATTCATACTCTTTTCTTTTTCTTCTCATGGATATAGCTAATTCCTCCCCTCTTTTTCCCACTATTTAGTTTTATTTTATGTGTATGAGTATTTTGCTAGCATGTCTGTATATACCTGTGCCCACTGAGGCCAGAAAGGATGGCAGAGTCCCTGAAACTAAAGTGGGGCCTGGGAACCAAACCTGGGTCCTCTGCAAGAGCAAGTACTCTGAACCCCTGAGCCATCCCTCCAGCTGCAGAGTCCACTTTCCTTTGTTACCACTTTGTTTCCTTTATTATTACTGTCCATTAGGAGAAAACTTTAATTCTCCATTATAAGAACAAGTAACACTAAGGGTTAAGACTGTGGCCAGGCATGGTGGCTCATGCTGTTGCTCCCAGCTTGGGAGGCTGAGACAGGAGCCTCTTGGATTGGAGGTCAGTCTGGACTTTTGTACAGATAGACAAAGAACAGACTTTTTTTGTAGGATTGAACTTTAGAAGGCTAGAAAACATCCAGACACTAAAATATTTACTTCCTGAAAGCCAATTTTAGCCTTGTTGGGTCAATGTTTGTGCAGTTGAGAACGTACACCCTGGTCTTGCACAGTTTTCATTCTGTATTTAATTTAGGAAGTCCAGCTGGTTGAATTTGATGACTTTGAGATTAAAACTAAAATTGAGGTTAAAATTACTATAGCTCCTGGGGTGGAGAGATGGCTCAGTTGTTAAAATAATTTGTTGTTATATTTCTAAAAAGCAGATAATCCAGATTTGAGAATGGCATCTCTGCTAAATATCACAAAGTCCTTTTTACTCACAGTGGGTGGTCTCTCGGGCTCTCATTCATATATTTATTCTTTGTTGTTGTTTTCTTTAGTCAGTATTTACAGGATGAAAGTAAGACCAAAAGAAATACAGATCTCAATCTCTTAGAGTGGACCCACTACAGCATGAAGCCACATGTAAGTTACGCTCAGAGCTGGACACCTTCCTTTTCTTTCTTTACTCATTCTACAATCACACATTTTCCAGAAGTCTACTTGTTTGTGGGGTGTGTGTGTCACATGAAAGATTGAATTTAGGGTTCAAAAAATATAAGGCTTATATTTCTTAACTGGCCTGTTTCTGAACCTATAGCCATAACCAAATAGTTGCTTCTTGTCTTTTATCTTGCTTCAAGTATAAACTATTTTGGGAATCCTGTCTCAGGTCTGAAAATGGGCCCCAAGGTGCTGTGAGGTCAAAGGCAGGTAGACCCTTGACTACAGATTGCAGCTTATGGTCCATGTGGATAGAAGCATGGCACAAGGTGGCAGGGGGTCCCATAGCCTTTGGACCTGTGATTGCTCCGAAGGTTGCGTCACACACAGTACAGGCGACCTCATCTAACTCATAATTATCTAGTTTTTCTCAAGCTAACATCAGAGACTAAAGGCACATTCTGTGTATTCAGGGTCAGAGTCTGATCCTACAGCTTCAGTCCGTACCACTCTGGTGGCTTTACCTGTCATAGTATGCTTGGAAACTGTAGGGGAAACTGACGAGGTTTAACACAGGTTCAGTTCAGGTCAATGTTCAAGATGGCTGCAGTCACATCAAGTCAGATCTGTACAAAGACCCTATCATATTTCTCATAGGACTGGGGGAACAAAGCCAGTAACCATTCTGAGTAAGCCACTTTTCCTGATTGGCGCTAACAAGAGCTCAACATTTTTCTCCACAGTTGAGCTGGGGCTTTGTTTATTTAGGTCTTCAGTCATGGAGCATCAAAGCCATGTGTGCTAGTTACTATGTATTGTACCTCACCTGATTGGAATCTCATTCTAGTGTTTGAATATTCGGCGTCTAAATTATGCAGGTGTCTTGGTTTTAGACCTAACTTTAATATGACAGCTCAGCTCTCTCCATCCAGAAACACTTTTGTTACTGTTGAATAATTGGAAAGTAAAGCCCTGAAGTTTCCCATGGAGAGGACAGGGACAGAGTCTTTCAGGAAAGGAGTTCTGAGGCAGAAGATGCACTGGAGGAAGCAGGTGCCTTGGGTTTGTAGATTAGAATCTGTACTTGTCTTGATTTAACTGAATCACCCTTGGGAACACTGCATGCCCCAGCATACGTATATGTGGTGGGCTGTACCCACCTTTCTTCTTCTAGTTGTAACTGCATTTGGGAAGCAGAGGAAAGCTGTTGTCATCCTGTGTGACTCAGCAGTGGAGTAAGCTCTCCTTATGTCTAATAGCCAAAGAGTGCAAGGGCTGGCCAAGGTGGTAAGGCTTGGGCACACAGCTTGTTCCATGTGGGTTTATCTTATGATGTTCTTAGAGCTGCTGGCTCCTAGTTTTTCTGCCTCAGGGACAGGACTTACCACTCAAGACATTATCTCAGTTGCTTAAAACCTCTGAGATGGTTTTCTCGTCGCACTTGAAACTGAAGGGATCCTTAGTAGCCGGCAGTTGTCCTGATTGTTAAGAGTATGTAACCTGTGCAGTATTAAAGTAGAATCCTGTGATTCAAGAATATCTGATTGGTCCCTTCTTATCCCTTTTTAAAGTTTTACTTCTGAAATTGTCTTTTTTAATTAATTAATTAATTTATTTATTTGTTTATTTGTTTATTTATTTATTTATTTATTTATTTTGCGCCCTGACCACAGTTTCCCCTCCCTTTTCTCCTCCCAGTCTTTCCCTCCTTTCCCCATCCCCATTCCTCCTCACTTTCTCCTCAGAAAAGAGGAGGCCTCCCATGGATAACAGTCAGCCTTGGCATATCAACTTGGAGTAAGACTCAGTGCATCTTCTCCTGTTGAGACTAGACCAGGCAGCCCAGTAGGGAGAAAGGGTCCCAAAGGCAGGAAACAGAGTCAGAGACAGCCCTGCTCCTGCTGTGAGGAGTCTCACATGAAGAGATACTAGTATTCTTACAATAAATCAAATGTGGTTCCTTCTTTTCCCGTGTGTGGTGGGTTTTGTGTTGCTTTTTAGTGGAGCTCTCACTTGCTTTACTTTTCTTCTATGAAATGTTTCTGTAAGGTCTTATACACTGCATCATGAATGGGGTTTTTATACCACAAAGAGTAAGAGTAATTGTGTGTGTGCATGTGTTTGTGCAACACCAACCAGATTTATGGAATTTATCAGACTGTTTTTCCAGTGTGATATTTAGAAAGAGATGAAGGAATGTATATGTAATGATATTTTACCTCCTCCACCTTTCTGTCTTGTTTTGTTTAGGAGATTCCTCAGCAGTTGAATGGGAGTGATTGTGGAATGTTTACTTGTAAATATGCAGATTATATTTCTAGGGACAAACCTATCACATTTACTCAGGTGAGTCCAGGCTCTTTTTTCTCATGTGCTTACTTGTTACTATACTTTGGCATTGCCTGGCACACTTCAGGTTCTTGTGATAGAACTATTGCTAAGAACCTTGGGAAAGACCCCATTCTTGCCAGAAGCAGTGGCACATATGCTCTGTCGTAGCATGAATTTTTAGGCTTCTCCTGGTCTAGGATGACTAGGGGGATAATTTGCTTGTCCTTGAACACCATTTTTGGTTGGTTCATGTATATTACTGTCAACTTTAGCTAGAGAAAGGCATGTGAGAATAAGTGATAGTAAGGGGAAGCTGGGCCTTATGAGGATTTCAACCCTGAATCTAAGATGGAAGCAGGAATGAACAGTGCTTTCCTTTCTGCAAGATGTTATAATTGAGAAGGGAACTCAACTATACGGAAAACTTTTACATTTCTGTTTGATAGTTAACCCATCCACAGACCTCTATCTGATAGCTGCTGTCTGCCAGTCTGCTGTGCTTTGGAGGAATATGAAATAAAACTGGGCTCCCCTGCTGAAGTCATGTCTTTCCAGTCTCAAAGAAAACACTCACTATTGATCAATCTCAGCAGTTTTGCTAGGAATAAATGTAGTTTTACTGGGTTTTATATGATTTGATTTTTTTTTTCTTTTTAAGAGACAGGGTCTCCTATTACACAGGCTGGCCTGGAAATCACTATGTAGCAACGGTAACCTGGTACTTGTCATCCTCCTGCCTCTACCTTCTGATTGTTGTGATTACAAGTGTGCAACACTGTACAGTAGGCAGACTAGTGAGCCCTTGGACGTCTGGAACTATTTAAAATAACCTGGTAGTGCAGCCTCTAATCTCAGCACTAGGGCAACAGAGACTGGAGGTTCTTTCTGAGTTTCAGGTCAATCTGGCTTACATAGTGAGTGCCAACCAGCCAGTGGTAAAGAGTGAGACCTCATCTAAAAAAGAAAGAATTGTATGATTTTTTTTTATTAAAATTTTTGCCACACACATCTTCCACAAACTCAGTAGTTTATAATACAGAGACAGATCCACCTGTTTAGAACAGTGCACCCTGAATAGGCCAAAGAGGGGAACTTCAGTCTGGTTTGGTTTTTGATTTTTCAAGACAGGGTTTCTCTGTGCAGCCCTGGTTGTCCTCAAACTTAGAAATTTACCTGCCTCTGCCTCCCAAGTGCTGGGATTAAAGGCACACACTGCCACCACCTGGCTGTGTCTCTCTCCCTTCCTTACACTATTTTCTGATTTTCTTTTATTTGTTACTTTTTCTTGTTTTGTTGATACAGGGATATTGTGAAGCCCAGATTAGCCTCAAATTCATGATCTTCCTTAGGTGCTTTCTAAGGTGTTGGGATTATAGGTGTGTATCACCATGGCCAGCTAAAAATAAATAACAAGGAGTTGATTTTTCTGTGAGTGGCGTGAAATTTCATGAGGATAAGCAGCTTGGGGAACAAAATTGATTGTGGTAGAACAGAAATAAGATTATAGATCTCATTTTTTTTTTCACTTTTTAAATAAAGGTCATTTAAATTGAAACTAGAACCTCATAAATACTAGACAAAACTTCTACCTCTAAGCCATATCTTCATGCCCTAAGGTCACTTTTGAAATATAAAAGCAAATTGTTTTTCATTTCGAATGTAGGAAAGTTTTCCTATTGTGCCACTGCTTAGACATTTTTGTTTTGGTGCATGTTTTGCTCTTTCATCATTGTCCTGTGGTATATGATTCTTTATCCAGCTTTGTTTTCCTTAACATGTAAGTTATGCACATGTAGAGCAATCACTCACTAGTTACGCATGTAGACTGGGCGTGTGGCACTTGTGATCCCAGAGCTGGGGAGGCTGAGGAAGGAGAAGCTGCAGCTGCAGCCAGCTAAGCTGTTTATTAGCAAACGAAATAAAAACAACCTTTGTCAGATTCGCTGGCACATTCCTGTGATCACAAGACTGGATGGACGTGTAAGCAGAAAGATCAGGATTCAGGAATACCCCCTTGGCTAACAATAAATCCCATCATGCTTCACATGATAAAACAGTCAAGCTGATGTAGAGGGCATATCCATCTTATTTTATTTACATGATGACACCTAAGGCTGTCATGCTGCACACAGAAATGTGTAACACTGTTTTTTATTCTTTTCAGCACCAGATGCCTGTCTTCCGGAAGAAGATGGTGTGGGAAATCCTTCATCAGCAGTTGCTGTGACAGTGCCCACCTGGTCCCTCTAGCTGCTGGTAATTCTTTCACGGATGTTTCCATATACCTCATGCATTGTGGGTTAAAAAGCCCCTGGATCATTTCTGTTTGCTCACAGGTACTGAGCCATTAAGAGTGCAGGAAGGTCTCTCCACAGTGGCCCTGACTTGAGGTGTAGAGGGCCTTCTTGTAACCCTGTTCGTAAGGCTGTGCCTGCTCAGAGCCCTGGACTGTTCACCCCATACAAGAACAAATGCTAATTAATGTGGTTTTTGTTTTGTTTTGTTTTGAAGAGTTATTTCCATATGAATGTGGGAAATGCAGGACTTGTTCTATGAATTGTTTTCTCTGTATATTTGTTCACGTGTATTCATTCACTCATTTGCAAACCTTGGGCAGTGCCCTTTTCTCACTGCTCTTTTATAATTAACTATAAATAATTTGTTTGAACTATTTATTTCTGAAAAGAATGTTAGTCAAGCCTGCCGCTCCCTGCTGCAGAGGGACATCGGCAGGGAGGAAGGAGGTGTTCACTAGCTTCCCTAATGCTGGAGCAGGAACTGCCACACGAAATCGAGGTTCTCTTATTTGAGGCTTGAGAATGCCAGAAGAATAACGATGCTGGGTGTAGGGAGCTGGCTGCCATTTAGAGACTGATGCTGCGACACAGGCGCGGTTCGTGGAAGTGCGGCAAAGGAGCTCGCTCTGTGCATCCTCAGAACAGCACGTGCTCATCTTAGAGACTTTGTTTTTCCAGAACTGAAGTGACCTGGTTTCCTCAAGAAACTGGATTCAAAGTAACTGTGACCATAAATGTTTCCTCCTAGGTCTGGTTGAGTACAAACCTCACAATGGTAAAGGGCTGGCCTGAGCTGTCTATAGCAGAAGATACTCCTCAATTTAAGCTTATTTTTCCTCAGAGTTTTTATATATATTAAATATATATATAAAGCTGAAATTAAGTTCTAGGCTCATTAGCATGCCCTGCTCCACTCCCACTGAGCCTCTGGAGAGAGATTTAGTGCTTACTCTGGGTTGCCCGTTTTACAGTCATCTATTTTGCATATGAAAGTTTGTATTTAACTTTTTGTTCATTAAAAATCTTACAGATGTGGATATGCATTTTTAATTTCAGAAAGTTGGTCAGAGCATATTTTACAAGATCTAGTGCCTAGTGTTGCTTTTATGATGTAATAAAAGACTGTCTGGCAGAACCCAGAAGTATATGCCGATATTTTTCCTCTTCTCTGCTGCAACCTTCCAAACTTGTTCTGGTACAGAAAGGAGAGATAGTTAGACACGCTGCACACATGTTAGACACAGATGTGCACATCTGCTCTTGGGAGCCTGGGCACCTGGGCAGAGGTTGTAGCTGTGGAAACCTCTTCCGCCCTGTTTCCTCTGAGACTTGAGTGGCCTTGGTATGGAGGCTGGGCCGCTGATGTGGGCTGAAGTGGCTGAGTCCACGCAGTGAGACCAGGTGGTGTAGCCAGACTAGAGACTGGTCCAAAGGTCCAGGGTTGTTCTACTGTTCGTGCTTCCTCCTCAAGGCAAACTGTGCCAGTCCTGCGGGATCAGGCAGCTGCGAAAACCAAGAGGCCCAAAAGTTGACTCTGACTGCAGTACTGGAAACTGGGTGCTAGAAGTCTACCTGAGATCTTATGACCCGGGGCCTACTGAGACGGCTACCTGACCAGAGTTTGATCCCCGATGTGCACAGTGGAAGGAGAAAACTGACTGCCCCAAATTATCCTCAGACCTCCACACTTGCGCACACCAACAGATGCACGCTAATAAGTAGATAAAATTGAAAAGGAATTCAGGGCCTTGGGTAAGGTTTGTTTCTGTAGGAGTCCTGCTTGGATGGTGGTTTGTTCTTGGCCCAGGTGAGTGATGCTGTGCTTGATGTGATATTTGAGGGGCGTTCCTGAGCTTTCCACCGGGTGTGCTCTTGGAAGGTATGCTAACCCTCAACAGGAAGTGGAGAGGTGCTTCCCTTTCAGCCTCAGCCCAGCACCTATGTAACAAGCTGTAATACCAGAGGACAGAGGCGGGAGGACAGGAAGAGTGATGGAGGATGGCTGACCGGCTCTTCTGGCCTGCTCGCCTGCACGCGCGTGAAAACACCACACTCACAGAGATACACAGTGAATTTTTACAGAGCAGAGAGAAATAGGCGAGTACAGAATGTTAAGCTACAGTGCACTGCTTTACCCAAGTTCCTGAGTCCAAGCTGAGACCCTGACAGGTCTCTCGGTACAAACAAGTGTGTGGGTAACAGAACTATTACATTCAACCTTAGCTGCTGGTGGAACTAATGAGCCAGCAAAATTAAAACCAGGAATTTTTTTGTGAAATTTCAATGTTGGGGCCTGAAAAAAAAAAAAAAATGTTGCTTTGTTCTGTTTAGCTCGCAGTCTCTCTGAAAATGAGTGTCTTAAAGAAACACGTGCTGCTGATGACTGCCCTTTCTGTAGCCGAGTGCTCTGTGCTTGTCCTTTACCTCTGTTAGCGTTGGGGTGGGGAGAAAGCCTGCATATTCCATATTCTACCTGAGCTGATTACGGCTGTGGGAGCCCCTGCTCCTTCTCCGAAGTCCTGAGCACAACGTGGGGAGTCCAGCTTGGGGGCTTCCAATGGGATGCAGGGTGTTCACCTACAGCAAGAGGACGTATGCGATGTGGGACCTTGTGTGGACATGGGGAGTCTTCCGGGGTACAGTGAGCCCAATACATGCACAATATAAAGTCCTGTAGTCAACCCACATTATTTAAAGGCTTTGTGAACTAATGTTTGAGAAAAGCTCCCTATTAAATAAGTTTTTAGAACTCGTTTGTAAATTGGAGATATAGCTGGCTTACAAGGATTTACTGTTAATTATTTAATATACACAAAGATGATTTTGGATGTGTTGGAAAGATACTAATTTTATCTACTTACCAATAAATTTATCTCAAATTAAGTGGCTTTCAGATTTTTTTTTATCAAAACTCATTAATATATATTTTATCCTATGACCAATACAGAGCACATATGTACACATTATTTTGTGAAATAAACATTTACTTTTTCAGGCTGGAGAGAGCTCAGCAGTTAAGGGCACTTGCTGTCTTTGTAGAGGACTGTACATTTGAATTCCAGCATCTACACTGGGCAGCTCACAGGAAACCTAACACCCTCTTCTGGACTCTGGACAAACACAGGGGTGCAGCCAGCTGGAGAGATGGCTCAGTGGTTAAGCGCACTTGCTTCTAGCCCGAGGGCATCCAGTCTTCTCTCCTCTGGCCTCCTTGGGCACCTGCCCTCACGTGCACAAACCCACACACACATGAGATTAAAAATAAAAGCCAGGTGTGGTGGTGCGTCCCTGTGATCCCAGCACTTTCGGAGGCAGAAGCAGATGGATCTCTTTGAGTTCGAGGTCAGCTTGTTCTACAAAGCAAGTCCAGGACAGCCAAGTCTACACAGAGAAACCCTATCTTGAAAATCCAAATAAAAATAATTGAGGTGGGCCCCTGTTCTATAATATGTAAATAGACTAGCCTTGACTCAGCAGAGGGCTGCTCACCTGTTTCAGCAGTCCTGGGATTAAAGGCATGCACCAGTATGCCCAGCTCTAAATTTCATGTTCTTAATTTCCTTTTTCATTTCACAGAGCTGGGGTTCTAATCCAGGGTCTTTGGTGTCTGGGTAACTGTGCTATTACTGAACTAAACTCCCAGCCGTAGTTGAAAACACTGCTCTTAATGAACTGAAAGCAAAATGAAAGGTTTTTTAAAGACAGGGAGCACTCTATAACCCAAGCTGGCCTGGAACTCACTGTAAAGTCCAGACTGTCCTCAAGCCTCCAGCAATCCTGCCTCAGCCTCCTGAGTGCTGGGATTATAGCCATACACAACTATACCTAGCTAAGTAATGTCTTAGCCTAGCATGTTTCAAATGTAGATCATGAGTCCTTGTCCCCAAGACTCCTGTGGTACTGTTGTACAGAAAACAGGAAACTGCCCAAACAACACAGAGTCTTGGGAGCATGTGCTTTTAAGTATATAGAGAAAAGCTCTACCACCCCTGCCCCAAATGGACACAGCACAGACACAGACATAATGTGTACATCAGGTACAGTCAAACACAATATACATAATACATATGGCATAAAGCGTGATTCCTAAGTACCTGACACCTTTTATAATTTCCTTTAGTATTAGTAATATGGACTGATGGTAAAAAAAAAAAAAAAAAAACTAAAATGTGATAGAAGGTAAAGAAATACAAATTCTGGCCACTCCATACCCAGACTTCACACATCTTCTTCCAGGGAGTCACCCTAGCAAACACCTGCCAGATCTAGCCAGGGTCCCACAGCCAGTCCCACCACCTTCTACTCTTCTGGTCAACCTCTAGACTTCTACCAAGACATGCCCTACTTACATCCACCCACAGGACCCTTCCCATTGCCTGCCAACTCCATGCCAGACTTCCCACATTAACCCATTCACAGATGATCTTAGAAGCCCATTTTCTCCAATAGGCCATCTGGAAAACAAACAAACAAAAACATCTGGATTGACATCATACATCAAATGGACTTAACAGATATCTAGAGAATGTTCTATCCAGACACTGAAGAAGACATATTTTACTTAGCACCACATGGAAGACTTTCTAAAAATGGGCCACATCCTGGCACACAAATCATTACAAATTTTAAAAGACTGAAACAATTCATTGTATCTTATCTGACCACAATGCAATAAAACTTTATATCATTTAAATCTCAAATACACAAACTCAAAACAAACTAGGAGGTTGAAATAATAAGCTTAAATGGAAAAAAAAAAAAAAAAGTCCAGGACTAGAGACACAGCAGAATTCTACACATTCAAAAAAGATCCTTCTTAAACCATTCAATTAAAAAAAAAAAAAAAAAGTGCTCCAAACTCTATGAAGCCAGTATCACTCTGATACCTAAGCCAGGTAAAAACAACCAAAAAAAAAAAAAAAAAAAAAAAAAAAAAAAAAAAAAAAAAAAAAAAACTATAGGCCAATATCCCTTATGAACAAAGACTCAAAAATACTCAATAAACCTGTAAACAGAATACAGAAAGATTATCCTCCAAGTTGGAATTATCCCTGAAAAGCAGGGCTCAACATACACAAGTTGATAAATGCAATAAACCACATAAATGAACTTAAAGACAAAAATCACATGGTCATCTCAGTAGATGCAGAAAAACACTTTAATAAAATTCAACATCATAAAAGTACTAGAGAATATAAGGCTAGAGAGAACACACCTCAATATAATAAGAGCTATATACAAGTTACCTGCAGCCAACATCACCCTAAGTGAAGAAAAGCTTGAAGCAATCTCACCAAAGTCAGGAAAAAGGGATATCCTCACTCTTTGTCAACATTGTGCTCAAAGCACCAGCTGGAGTAAGAGAAAGAAATTAAATGGATATAAATAGGGAAAGAAGTCAAACCACACCTATTTGCAGATGATGATACTGTACATCAGAGATCCCAAAATTTCTAAAAAAAAAAAAAAAAAAAACAAAAACTGGAAACAAACAAATGCAGCACTGTGGCAGGATACAGAATCAACTTGCATAAATCACTTTCCTATTGGCATTTTCTATAACAACAACAAACATTCAGAGAAGGTGATTATGGACACATTTGTTCACAATAGCCTCAAAGAAAATACAGTATCTAGAAGTAAACCTAAGCAAGTAAGGAAGGGAAGGACCTTAACACAAAAACTTTATTCCTCTGAAGAAAGATGGAGACACTAGAAAATGGACCGACACCCCATATTCATGGGTTAGTACAATCAACATTTTGAAAGTGACCATTAGCCAAAAGCTTTTTTACAGGTTCAATGTAATCCCAGTCAAAATCCCATTCTTCACAGAAACAGAAAACAAACTATCCTCGTATGGATCCACAAAAGACATTAGATAGCCAAAACAATCCTGAGCAAAAAGAACAATGCTGGAGAGATTACAATTCCACATCATAAGATACATTACAGAGACAAAGTAATAACAACAAAAAACTATGGTCTCAGCATAAAAACAGATGTGTAGACTGATTGAGCAAAACTGAAGAACCAAACATGAGCACAAGTAACATCAGCCTTTTAATATCAGTCTCAGACTCAGACAACAACCTGGAAACAAGAAAACATCTTCAACAAATAGTGCTGGGGCTGTTGGGACCCACCAACACTGAGATATGCCCAGGCCTTACTGCTCAACATAGGAACAGCCATTTTTGTCTTCCCTAGTGTGAAATCCAATACCTGCTGCTTAGAGTAGAATAAAAGAGGTGATAAATATGTGTTCTGTTTGAGTTAAAACACACTACTCTGCTATGTTCCTTTCTCATGGGAATGGTAGGGAGCTAGGAAGTCCCCAAGGCCTCCAAGAGAAAGAACTGGAAGGTCCCCAAGTTCCCCTGCCCTATATTCCAGCCAATCAGCTTAAAGATAAGCTGAAATGCTTTATCTAGCTACCTAGGCACAATGTGCCTGGAATAGAATTGATCCTGCTTGGTTGTGGTTTTTTTCCTTTAAAAGCTCGCTCTGAGAATGAGTTGGAGTGATAGTCTTGACTCCTGAATCCATACTGTGTCCCTGACCAGTCAGTCTTTGTGAGATATTCAATATACTTTCATTGATCTGAGTTTGGTGCCCTAATGGTCAGTATGTGGCTATTCCTGGACCCCAATAGGGAAACTGAATGTCCACATGCAGAAGAATGAAATTAGAGCCTTATCCTTCTTCACCTTGCACAAAAGCTAACTTCAAATGGATCAAAGACCTTAGCATGAAATAGTCAAACTGCTAAAAACAAACAAGCAAGCAAACAAACAAAAACAGAAAATATACACCTACATAATATATGTGTAGGAAAGGACTTCCCGAACAGGACTCCATTTGTACAAGAATTAAGGCCAACAATTGACAAAGGGGACTTCAGACGCTAAAAGGCTTCTGTTTTTTACTGTTTGGAAACTTCCTACAACAGATGACTGGATAATGAAAATGTGCATATACGCTAGGCTACTGAATTAATCAGCTGTAAAGATGAGTGAAATAATGAACCTTGCAGGTAACTACATGGAAGTAGAAAAGATCATACTGAGCGAGGAAACCCAGACCCAGAATGCCAAACACCATGTTGTCTCTCTCATTGGAGGTTTGTAGCCTTAAATCTTCAGATGTGTGTCCGTAGTCTATGGGAAAGAAAGGCAGAATGAGTGCCAAGGTAGGGAGAGAGGGGATTAACATGGTCCCAGTGATTTGGTCAGGAAAATGGGGGGAGTGGGATCCTAAGGGAGGGGGAAGCAGGCAAATACAGAAGGAGATGGACAGTGGTGAAGGGGAGTGACAGGAAGCACGTGACCTGATGGGGGAGCTCCTTAGGTAGGGGGAGGGAGGTGAGTACATGAGGTGGGAGGAGGGTAAAGGGGAATAGGGTACAAGTGATCTGATAAGGGAAATGGGACAGGACAGGCTCTTCGGGGACTGGGCAGGGACAGAAGAAGGCAGGAGCTGGGTGGTGCCTCCTAGCACTCAGGAGGCAGCCTGGTCTACAAGAGCAAGTTGCAAGACAGCTACAGTGACACAGAAAAATTCTGTCTCAAAAAACCCAAAAACAACCATCTCAAGACAAACAAACAAACAAACAAAAAACAATAAGGGCATCTGACTAGGCTACAAGGAATCATATTCATGACGACAAACCAGAGAACAAAAACAAAACAGAAAGCCTAAACCAAACAAATCATAATACAAGAAATTCTGTGTACAAATATATATATTTTAATGACTGTTTCTAATCTGAACTAATTGTGTTCCCTCCAAGAGCCAAAGACCACCTAACAAAACCCCCAACACCAGTTCAGGAGAAGGCCTCTTTTGTTGTCCAGGCTGGCTAAGAGACTTTCAAAACCTATTGCCACCAGTTACTCCCCAGGGGTGGAAGAAGTCCCTGTCGTTGAAGATAACCAACCGCACCTCAGAAACAGGGCCCAGAGACCCAGGGGCTGGGAAAAGACCTGAAAAGGCCCTTTCCTGAGGACTAGCTTTCATGGTATCAGAAAGCAACATGCAAGCTTCCAAAGGAGAAAGACAATCAGTCCTCCCCAGCTGCGGCACAGATGTACAGCAACTCTGACGTACATCTGTGATGAGCGTGGCACGATAACTCTGCAGGAACAGTGTGGCACACATGCCTTGGTGGTAACCAGTAGCTCTCCAATTGGACTCGCCCAACAAGAGGGAGACCACGCCTGGCACTGGAAACCTGGCTAACTAGTCAGTGCTAGTGAAGTCATGGTTATTGGATGAGAACCTCCAAACACTAATTTACTGAACCAGCATCAAAAATCGATCATCATTTGTCCTTATAGCCAGACAAGTGTGTTCTTCATCTTCATCAAGGAAACCTCTCTTCACAACACATAGAGACCATTACAAACAAACAAACAAACAAAAACACCACAGCAATCAAATGCAGAGTTTTGAAGCTAAGTCTCAAAGGATACATCCATAAAACCCTCCTGCACCTAAGACTCCGGGAACATTGTGGAAGTGGGGGTGGGAAGATTGTAAGAGCCAGAGGGTCAGGGAGATGGCTTTGAGATTTGTCTCCTAGTAACGTCAAAAGCTGCATTGATAGGCTATCACCAACAGGGCTGCCCGGACATGAGCTGAAGAAGGATGACACCAATGAACCGTGCCAACCAGATAACCCACAAGGCTTCAAGCCTACACAAGAACTATAGGCGACTGAGAAAGGCTGGACATGGAGGTCGCCTCTCCAGAGGAGAGCGCACCAACTGGTTAAGTGCCTGTGTCATCCCTGAAAACATCCATACAGGTAGACTTATATGGAATGAACAGGTTGTATTTAGAAATACATATGTGTGTGTATTGTACACATATATGCAAGCAAATTACAATTAGTATTAAAAAAAGAATGTGGATTTGAAAAAGTGCAGGGAGGAGTATATGGAAGGATTTGAAGGGGAGGAAATCAAAGGGAGAAAAGTAATTAAATTATAATCTCAAAAATATTTTTTCTGTTTTTAAAGATTAATTAATTAATTATGTATACAGTGTTTTCCCTGAATATCTGTCTGCATGCCAGAAGAGGGCACCAGATCTCATTATAGATGGTTTGAGCCACTCCTGAGTGGCTAGGATTAAAGGCATGCACCACCATGCCCGACTAAACAACAAACAAACAAACAAACAAAACTTTTAAAGGAAAAAAATTCTACAAATTAACTACTCAGAGTTAGCTTGTAACATTGTTTGGCACATATTCTGGCCTCCTTCCACTGTATTCATGTTTGTGTGTGTGTATTTTTAAATGAACAAATATGTCATGTTGTGCTTATATAATACCTTTTATACTTTTTTATTTATACATAGTATTTTATTATACTTTTTTATTTTTACATAGTAACTTTTTTAAAAAAAAGATTTTACTGATTTATTTTATGTCTGAGTGCTCTATCTGCATGTACACCTGCAGGCCAGAAGAGGGCAGCAGACCCCATTATAGATGGTTGTGAGCCATCATGTGGTGGCTGGGAATTGAACTCAGGACCTCTGGAAGAGCAGACAATGCTCTTAATCACTGAGCCATCTCTCCAGCCCTACATAGCATCTTGACAACTGATCCTGACCATATCTTCATGTCAATGTCATAATTGCTTCTCAGTCTAATGTGTGGTTATAATTGGAATATGATTGCATCTAACATTTTACACAATATCTGGCTTCTCCTCTTAGAACAAAAAGATATCACTAAAATCTAAGTTGCTAGCCAGGCGGGTGACACCTGCCTCTAATCCCAGCACCGGAGAAGCAGAGGCAGGTGGCTCTCTATGAACTCAAGGCCAGCCTGGTCTACAGAGTAAGTTCTCCAAAAATAAAAAATAAAATAAAAAAACATTAAAAAATTTCTAATATTCAATTTAGTTTCATATCTCCCCACCCCCGATTGTTTAAAGAATATGTTAGAATCTAAACTATTTGGGGCACTTGCTCCATTCATTATCACACATCCCTTGCTACCCAACCAGGAACCCAAGACTTAGGTTGGCTTTGAAGTTGATATTCTCAGGTAGTTGGGGAAATGCTGACTAGCAAGCGGGTTTGGTTTATTAGGCAAGGAGCCCCTTGAGCAGACTTCACTGCCGAATGAGCTTGCAATGCCAACTTGTACCAGTTGGTGGCGCTAATTGTGATCAGTGATGCAGGCTGTGTTGGTCTGAACTCTTGTTGTTTTATAAATCCTTATAGTTTCGTTTTTGTCTGGGGGCTATTTTATTAATAGTTACAAAATGTAGATTTTCTATCATTACTGCTGTGCTCATTAGCTTGAACTGTTCTATGAAGAAAAAGTTCCCAAGTGTTTGGCTGCCTTGCATGTATTTTACATAGGAGAGTGGTGCTGAGATGCATTGTCATTATTGTTTTGCTATCACCTTCCTGCCTTAAACCTGGAATCCCTATCGGTGTCCTGATTTCTTCTCACAGGTCCTTTAGTTTGTGTGAGGGTCACACAGACAAGTGGTCAGGGTAAACAAGTTTGACTTCTCCATGAACCCCTTCATTGTACTGAGGTGCTGTGCTCTGACTATAAAAAAGAATTATGGAATAAACCTGTGTAACAGTTTCTACTGGCAGCCCTCTCGAACAGATCCCATGTGTAGTGTGTTGGGTTTTTTTTTTTTTTTTTTTTCTTTCAACCCTCACTCCCTACTCAAGAACTGTTCAACTCTGCCAGCAGGCTTTGGCAGGCAGGTCTTTCTTGAACACGTCATCCTTCAGCCCCAGTTTCTGAGGGTCTGGGATTATAGGTCTGGATAAATCTCTATTTTTGAATGGCTATATTACGATACTGGTATATATATGTGTGATGTATGCTGAAGGCTACAATACTGGCATGCCAGGGGCCTTGCACTGTCTCTGAGGACCAATCTGACCCTAGGCAGCCCAACACTGAGGTATTAGCTTCCTGGTGTCAACTGTTGTTCTTTAACACTTTTCCCTACCATGCAGTGGTGGAAACCTATAATCCCAGGATTTGGGAGGCCGAGCCATAACTGTTGTGAAATTCTAGCATATCCAGCACCAGCTCAGCCAGTATCACACAGCAGGAAGGACCTCATCTTAAACCTCCACCTCTGCATTCCTTCCAATGGGGGGAGGTGGCGAGCCCCTCCTAGAGATGGCAACTGTCTGTCCCCCAACAGTGGTCCCAGCAAGGCACACAGCTGCCACCGGAAGGAAGGTCCTCTCTTCTTGCTGTTCCTTTTCTCTGGGTGTTGCTAGCACCTGCCACTGAGATACACTGCCAGCACTGAAGGTTTATTTCAGCTCCGCTCAGCATAGAACTTGATGGTTCAAGGTTGTTTCACATATTTTTAAGCTTTCATTTGTATTTGCTATGTAAAGAATATTTAAAGGAATATGGCAAACTCAGAGGTTCCTCAATCTGTGGGTCACCCAAGACCACCGGAAAATACAGATATCTGAATTACGTTTCCTAACACTAGCCAAACTACAGTTACAAAGTAGCAACAAAATAATTTTATGCTTGTGGTCAAGGCAACATGAGGAGCTGTATTAAAGGGTCACAGCATCGGGAAGCAAGGAACCGCTGAGCTAGAGAGGAAGGAAGAGTTGCCTTGCTGGCAGGTTCCCTGGGCAGCTTGGGGGGGCAGGCAGTCTGCATCTGAATCCCCGGCAGCTGCCGCACACGGAAGGGCTGTGCCTCTCCCCAAGAGCCCTGTGGACCCAGAGCTGCTGTCCTGACCGCCCAGCTGCCAGCTTCTCCCTCCCCCACACCTTCGGCTGACACTCGGAGACAAGGATGCTCAGGAAGTAAGACACGAGACCCGAGGCTCTTGTTAGCTTGGATATATTTTTTTTCCTTTTTTTTTTTTTTCGTCACAGAACACTGTTTGCAGTACAGGAAACCGGCATTGCAGTCTGGTGCTGTCATGGCTTCTTCACATAACCAGGACGTGGTCATCCTTCAGCGCAAAAGCCCTCACGGCGCGTACCTTATTGAAATTCAGGACGGCTCCAATATTCTCTCTCTGTTTTTGCCATTTTTCAAAAATAAAACATTTTTAGGTTTGTCCACAAGAAGGCCACGTAGGCTCTCGGCTAGCGGAAGACGAGCGAGAACAGGTGCTGCACACACTTGGGCCGCCTGCTCCAGGCTGGCAGTTGATCTTTTTTTTTTTCAACTCGTTTTTATTAAAAAAATAAAAAATGCTCCAACTATCAGTTTTACAAAATCTCTAAGGGAAACACAAGAGCAAGGTGCTGAGGTAAAAAACACCTGAGGTAGCTTTATTTGTGTGTTTTTCTCATTTAAAAAAAAAAAAAATCTAAATTTAACGCCCTGGGCCAACAACCTTGTATAAATTGCTATTTGCTTGCACTTTAAATTTTTAAAGAAAGAAATAGTTTCACTAAATGTTGATGGCTTATGTACCAAAATGTAAAAAGACAAAGTACATTCTTTCTTTATGGAATTTTTCCTTGTTTGGTTGGCTGGCTCATTTGGTGAGTTCCTGCTTTCCTCTTCCAAATGCTAGGACAAGTACCATCTACTCTTGTTCGCTTGAGTAGCCAAGTGTAAGCTGAGGCTGGTTTGTGTGTTTCGCATTTGATCCTTGTGTGATATGATACTCAGAGCACTGCTTTGCCTGGTGGGGGGAGTGCATAGATATGGGGAAACAGAAAGGGATGAAGGATTTCAAAAGGATGATGGGTAAGGAGGAGGGAGGGAGGCAGAGAAGATAAACAGAGAGAGACAGAAATATATAGCAGTATGCAAAAAAAAAAAAAAAAAAAAAAAAAAACCCAGTTTCAAACCTGTGAAGCAGAGAAATGAATGGGATAGGGAGGTGACGAGGGCCTGGGCCCCTCCTCAGGGACGGTATCCCTTCTGTTGACAGACACAGGAGACCCACAACTGCCATTAAGTGTCCTTGACTGGATTTCTCTCCAAGTGAATTCTGTGTGGGTGGCTCAAAGTTCCTTTCCTATACCAGTGGACCTCACCCAAGACTTTATTCTTTGAAGTCTAGAAAAGCCTGCTTTCTCTTCAAAAAGAAAACAAAATTAATAATCGAGTAAAAATTGTAGTTAGTTGAGTTATTTGATATATTATTTCTAAAATATATTAACGCTGCAGGCGCCCTGTGTAACCCACAGGCCACACTTCTGAGCATCTTTTCCCCTTCTAGTATGTACAGACATGTACAGAACAACTTTCCACAACAAAGAAAAGGCTGTGAAGTTTGCTTTGCTTCGAGCACGTTCGCCTATGTTAGTTCAACTGAAAGGGATAGCGTCTCGGGAGCTGAGGAGAGGTCTGAGTGGATGGGCAGTGGATGGCTGTAACGCCTGCAGAAGCCAGGGGAAGCCGGGGCACCAGGCCGAGGGGGGTTTCTGGGGAACCCGGCCTTCCCCGTGCCCTCCTGGGTCCCAGGATGTGTGGGGGTCTGCAGACCCTGGCTGCTCTGCAGACTTCTCGCTCCTCAGGATGGTCTTTGGTTTGCTCCCAATCTGCTGGCTGTTTGGTCTCCTTGGCCCGTTGTCGGGAGGGCTACATTCATCTGGTGTTCGAGGGCGCCTTTGGGAACCTCACTTGCTGCGCTGCGGGGCGCCTCCCTGAGGGTATTTCTGCTCCTGCTGCTTCACCTGCTGTACAATTTCCCTGATCTTGCGTTGTGCGGTCTGTAGCAGAGAGAAGGGAGGGGAGGGTGCAGGGAAGAGACAATCCCAGCTCTGAGGCCCAGTGGAGAAACACAGGGTCTGGGACTTGGGAGAGGAGAGGTTGAAAGCTCAGACCCATTCATGTCACCTTCCCCAGGCCTGGCAGTCAGGGGCATAATTCCTCTCCACCGCTCCCTCAGCTGGGATGGGGGTGGGGAGATAGAGGGGTGCCAAGGGGAGGAACTAGCAGCAGTGAGCAGGACTGGCCAGGAGGCAGTAGGGGTCGGCGATGGGGTCGGTGATGGGGACAGTGGCCGAAGGCCCTGCCACTCACACCTGAGCCCTGTTGAGGCCCCAGTTGCCTCTTCAGAGCACTAGAAACATCCGGAAAGGGGGGCTGTGGGGAGGGGAACTAGCACCCTGACATGGCCTGACCACTCAGAGCTCTAGGCTTAAGCCCCAGCTCTCCACAGGCTGAACTCTACAACAACCCAGGCGACAATCGCAGGGGGTCGGTCTCGGCAGAGCAGCTGGGTGAGTTAGCTACACAGTTAGAGAACACAGACTGCTCCCCCCCCCCCCCCCGCGCACACGAGGGTCACAGCTGCTCTCCGCCTCGGCAAAGGCATCAAGACAACTGGGCCTCCCAGTCACTGCAGTGCTGGCCTCAAAGGCAAGACAGGGCAGAGAGCAAGAGAAAACGAGCCCTTCCTAACAACCCTTCCACCTGGCTGCTTCCCGGGAGCCTCCAGGACCTGCGGCTCCTCAGAGGAAGGCGGGGAGGGCACGAGATGCTGAGCTCCCAAGCTGAGCACGCCAGGGGCCTCGCACTGTTTCCTGGCCCTGAGGTAGGGGGCCGGGGAGGAGCTCCCCTGTGTGTGTGATGGGGCGGGGGTGGGGGGCCTCAAGCACACGGCCACTGGACACAAACACAGTATCTGAACTAGAGCTGGGCAGGAGGCAGTAGTACCTGGCTCGCAAAGAAATGCCCAATAATCCTGACGATCACTTCCTCATTTTCATCCGGCGTCTGGTCACGAGGCACGATAACTTCCGCACTGGTCAAGTTCTGCAGCTCGTTTACCTGGGGAGGCAGAGGAGGCAGTGAGTGAGGCGAGTCCTCCTCCCCCCATTCCAAAACTAATTCCAAAGCTGTGAAGGGAGGGGCTGGGGGCAGCCAGGATAAGGACTCCAGAGGCCGAGGGGCAGAGTACAGCCCCTACTCCATGGAGCTACCTCACAGGCTGAATGCTCTAATTCTACAGACACGCCTGAGGACCCCCAGCTTAGAAGCCGCACCTACTTCCTGGCCTCCGGCATGAGTTAAGGCCTCTCTTGTCTGACTCAGCATAAACTACCATCTTCTTTCTCTCTCTTCTCCCTTCCGAGACAAGGTTGGCCTTGAACTTGGTGTACAGAGGACAACATCCACCCTCCACTTCCCAAGGGCTGGGGTTACAAACTCAGAGCGAGCTTGTGCCTGTCCCTGCTCCTTGGCATGACACTCAGCTCACAGGCAGGTTGAGGGGACCACAGCGGGGATACAGAGAATTCGGTGGCCGCTTCCGGTAGAGGCTCAGGCTTCCGCTCCAGCGTTCAGCTCCGCCTAGCACCCGCTGTGCACACCCTGGACTAGGATGGTACCTACAGATGCAAGGGCTAACCTGCAGTCCGGCTAACTGTATCATTCTGCATGTGACTCTGCATCTAGAACCCGAGTGCCCAGCCCCAAGTCCTGTCACCCAACAACGTCACTTCACCGTCACGCACCGAGTCCCCCAGACAACCTATGCATGTCAAGGATTAATATGCTTTTCTTTGGGGAGCTAAAAGTTGAACCCGGGGTCCCAAACTTGGTAAGTGCATGTCCTATCACTGAATTATGCCCCCAGCCCTGGAATTCACGTGATAGATGTTACTGATGCCGTCAGACTGAAGACACAAATTACTTTAAAAAATTATTTTTTCATCCTCTTGCTGAGCCAACTCCCCCATAGCAGATGGCCAGAGAATGGGATGTACAGTAGGGAGGGGAGAGAGGACCCCTAGAGACTGCCATCAAGAGAGAGCACAGGACAGAGTTGCAGCCTCTGAACTTGGAAACCAGATAGAGTGGTGTCAAATGGTCAGCAGATACTCTGGGTGCTACCTACTACGTGTGTGTGTGTGTGTGTGTGTGTGTGTGAGAGAGAGAGAGAGAGAGAGAGAGAGAGAGAGAGAGAGAGGGATGGAGGAGGGAGAGAGGAAGGGAAGGAGGGAGGGAGGGAGAGAGGGAACATGAGCCAGGGCCAGGTGGCACAGCACTAGGGAACAAGGTGGTTTCTATTCTGGGCTTGATGCCATGGACTGGGCCCTCAGGCTAGAGCAGCGCTGATGGCCTTTCTGTCCTTGGAATCCTCACCTCATCCACTGAGCACATGTCAGGAGGGCCCCCGAGCCTGTCAGCCTAAGGCCCTCACATGTGTTGTGAGTAAGCAAAAAGAGCTAGTGAGGACTGGAGGGAAATGAGGGCAGGGCAGGGAGTCGGAAGGACTTACGGTTTTCCCGCCTTTGCCGATCACCCGGCCAGCTGTCGACGAGGGAACCCGGATGTGGGCCTCCAGCTTCACCTCTTCCTTAGGGCTGAAGAAGTTTTCTTCTTTCAGTTTCCCAAAGATCCGTCCCTGAGCCTGAGAACGAGATGACCGATGACTACACGGCTCTGTTAGTGCCGCAGGGGACTAGGATTCTCAGTGATGGGGTGTGTTGTCTTCACACACGTGGCCCGTTTACTGCAGAGCCAGGGGCTGCCCAGACACTGAGCCACCTCACCCCGCAAGCTGTCCCCGGGCTGCGGAACCTCATGGTTTGACTGTCTCCTCCAGGGAACCTGTGTGTCCAGGTTGAGGACAACTGGCAGGCCACCAAGACTGCATTCTTATTTTCATACTCCCAGTGCCTATAAACGTTTGTTTGGTTGAGTTTGCTTAAGAGGTTCTTAGCTTCCTCTCCGCTGTACGCTCAGTTCTCTCATTATGGAAGGAGATTAAGCGGGTAGCGAGAGGATTTCCGGAGTCTGAACCTGCTACAACTGCTTTTCTTTTTTGGTGCTGGGAATCAAACTCACGGCCTTGCAATGCTAATAAAGTCATCATTTGAGCATGCGCTTTTGGCAGTTGGTGGGTGTGGAAGAACCATCACCACTATCTGTAATGTTCTGGATCCATCCCAATCCCAGTTTCTTGGGAGGCTGAGGAAAAGAGTTGCAAGGCCAAAGCCAACCTGAGCAATCTAGTGAGACCCTGTATCAAACTTAAAAACAAAGTTGGAAGAGGGCTAGGAGTGTGGCTCCGTGGCCAAGAGCTCGCTGCCCTCTATGGGGGAGGCCCTGGGGCTGCCTCTTCATCTCCAGCTACACCACACTGTTCAATGGCTGGTTCCCACCCCCTCCTACTCCCATTTCTCAGCAACCAGCAGTTTACCTTCTTTCTCTATGGCTTGCTACTCCACACGTCATGTACATGGAACCATGGCCTACATGCCCCATGTCTCTAGGGTCAGCCCTTTTGTAGCATGCACTTCATTCTCTTTCATGGCAAAATAATATTCTCTTGTGTGGATATACCACATTTTGTTTGTCCATTTTCAAGCTGAAGGCTTTTGAGCAGTTCCCTATGCAGCATTCCAAGGTTTTCATTATTAAGGGCTACACTTTTATAAATTAATACACATTTCTGACTTCCTGAAATTCAAGGTTTTAATTTTCCCAAAGGAAAGACATCAGGAACAAGGTAATGCTTCTCACAAAAGAACTCTCCCCAATGCTGCTAGAATTCCTTCACAGGCTGTCAGAACTGCCACTACATAAGGCTCCTCTTCCGCACCCATGCTAATCCCCACGGCTGGGGGGGCCCTAAGACGGCCACCCAATCAGAGACATGCTGGAGGCACTACCGCCCTGACTGGGCCCCAACAGGCAGCCCATCTTTCCATGGAGGGAAGGCAGAGCACAGAGGAGGAATGGGGAAACAGGCAGAGTCTGAGGCCCATGGACACTAGGCTGCCAGAGAAGCTCACCATCCTGAGCTGGCTGTCCTGCACCCAGAGCCTGCAGGGCTAACACAGTCCTTGGCACTGACCTTGAACTGGGCTTCAGGTGGCCCGGTGATGGTGACCATCCTTTCACTGACATCCGGACCTTCTGCTGGAGCTATCTGCGGTTCAAGGAAAGAGGAACATGCTGACACCGAACCGCTCTGCTGATACCAATTGGTGACAGGGCTTCTGCCTTCGAGCCCCACGCTTTGTCTGACAATGCGCTGCCTGTGCCCTGGGTCTTGGGAAGTCACGACCTTAATCCTCAGTATCAAATATGGGCCTCTGGCTACCCAGAGCAGGTCAGTACAGGTCAGTATTGACTGCCGCTCCCGGCAGTGAGCACCCTTGCAGCAACTTGCCTCCTCTCCCAGCCGGGTCCCCCAGGCTCTGCCAACCCCCATCTAGCTGCAGGAAAGGTCAGCCTGGCTCTAACTCTCATTCACACATGACCAGCTCTGAGTTGACAAGGGACGCAGGGCAGGTATATCCATCCGTAAATGGTGAGGGCTGCCTTGGTTCCTCATGGCCCTGCAAACCCTTCCTCACCTGAGGAGCATGGGAGCCAGCTAGCCTCTAATCCCGTAAGAATAAAACAAGGACCTCACCAATAGTTTGGTTAGAGGTGTGGTGGTTTGAATGAGAATGGCTCCCATAGGTTCATCTACTTGAATGCTTTCGGGAGCGGCACTGTTTGAAAGGATTAGGGGGTGTGGCCTTGGAGGAAGTGTGCCAGTAGGAGTAGGCTTTGGGATTTCAGGAGCTAGGTCAGGCCAAGTGTCTCTCCCTTCCGGCTGCCAATAGATCCAGATGTAGAACTCTAAGCTCCAGCACCATGTCTGGCTGTGCTGACATGTTTTCTGCCGTGATGGAAAGCCATCTGTAACTGTAAGCCAGCCCCAACCGAATGCTTTCTTTTATGAGTTGCTGTGGTCGTGGTGTCTCTTCACAGCGACAGAACACTAAGAACTTGGCACTAAGAGTGGGGTATCGCTGTGATAGGCCTGATCATGCTGCTTGTTGGTAGACTGTGGACTTTAGAACTTTGGATTAGGAAAGCAGTTGAATGCTTTAAGCAGAATGTAAGGGACCATTACCAATAGGAGCAGGAAGACAGTGCTAGGAAGACTTGAACTGTGGGAGCCCATGTCAAGAAATTTCAGAGGGGAAGAACATTAGTAAATGGCCCAGAGACCTCCTGTGATATTTTGGCAAAACTGGTGGCTGTTTTATGCCTTGTAAAAAAATCAGTCTGAGGCTAAATTAGAAGAGTTTTGGATTAATGGTATTGGCAGAGATTTCAAGACAGCCTAGTATTGACTCTTGTCGTGTGGTCATTAGTGACCACTCTCACGTAGATCTACACTGAAAAGGAGTAAGCCTGCAAAAGAAAAATAGAGGAGAAAAGGAATACTGGGAATTGTAATGGAGCTAAGTCCTGTGCTCAAGAAGATAAAAGTTTAGAGAAAGGAAGGTGGTGGTGACCTCAGAAGAAGACTCCATCCAGCAAGGCTTCCGACTTGTGAAGGGAAGTAAAGAAAGGCTTGTGCGGCGAAGGAAACCCGCAACAACAGAAAGCTGCTGATGTATTTGGGGGGCCAAGTTCTAGTCCCAGTGGGCCTGAGAACCAGCTTCCACCACACAGTTCTGGCTTTAGAGTCTAGAAAAAGGTTGTGGATGCTCCCGCTGTAGCTACAGAAAGCCACAGAGGCCAGGGGGGTGTCGGGCGTGCCCCTGTAAAGCTCTGAAGTGAAGCCTGGATTGCCTTGAAGACCTCACGATGCTGGATGTCCCAGAGTCACGGGATCCTGGCTGGGGAGAGCTGCTAACAGGGAGTAGAGCCAGCCCTAGATAGAGAGAAAGAAGTGTGTTCCAGTCAGCAAAGCTGAAAGGAGTTGGAGATCTGAAGAGCGCTTTGACATCAGACATGGAGATGCAGAGGTTGGAGTTTGCCCAGCTGGTTTTAGGTCTTGCTTTGGTCCAGTATTTCCTCACTATGCTTCCTTCCCTCACTTTTGGAATGGTAGCGTATGTCCCATGACACTGCATGTTGGGAGTGTGTGATCGGCTTTTTTATTTTATAGGGGTTAGAGCTAAGAGATTGCGTGAGTCTCAGAAGAGACTTTGGAATTTTAAACAGTGTTGAGACTGTGACAGACAGTGGAAAGTTTTGAAGTTGGAGCGAATGTACTTTTGCACTATGATATGGCTAGAAGCCTACGGGGGCCGGGAAACAGAATGTGGTGGTTTGAATTAAAAATGTCCCCTCTAGGTTCATACATTGGAATGGTTAGGGACTAACACATTGGTAGAACACTGACTAAGATATGGTTCTTATCACATTTTCTTCCCAGCACATTCTGACTTAGGAAATCTTTACAAGAGGAGAAAGAGGAGGAATAAAAGGAAGAGGAGGACGAAGTGGGGAAGGAAAAGGAGGGGGAAGTGGTAAAAGGGAAAGGAGTAATTGACAACAAATTGAATTGGACCTGGTAGTTCATGAAAGTAGCCCCATCTACTGAGGAGGCCAAGACAGGAGACTCATTGCGGATAGATGTTAGAGGTCAGCTTGACAACACACAGACACACACACACACACACACACACACAGACACACACAGACACACACACAGGACTCCATCTCAAAAAAAAAAATTAAAATTCATCAAATCATGGCTACACAGGTCAGTTTGTAGTTAGCCTAGGCTTTATGAGGCCATGTCCCAAGCAAGCAAGCAAGCAAGCAAACAAACAAAAAACACAGCTCATTACAGGGTCACTCAGAGCAAAGCCCAGGGCTCAGGGCGGTGGCATTCCTACTGTCTCGTGAGTATACTGTCTCCAGATTTCAGGGAGAGCTCCGCTCAGGCGTGCCCTCACCCCACCTAGGCTCGAAGACAGGGTCTACCCTGGGACTTGAGGGTCCAGTGCTGTGTCCCACTTCCTGTGGCTACCCACCCACAGCATGTTGTGACTTCATTGCTCTGAAGGAGCAATCCAGACCTTTCAAGAACTCTAAGGCCTTCATTCCTTACTCTGTGGCACCAGGCTAAATGGGAGACACAGGTGGCCAGTAAGGTGCCGAGGGCCCCGCCACTGTGGGCAGTAGCCACACATTGTCCTGGGGATGGAGACTGAGGCAGGCTGCACACAGCCTGGCCCTGAGACAGGCGGCAGGAAGCCCTGTCTGAGATCGCTGTGGAGTGGGGCCTAAGGGCCCGATCACACCTGGGACCTTCCCTCCCTCCCTCTTCCTTTCCCTAAAGGTGCTAACTGGGGACAGTTCTGAAGATCAGTCAGTATGGAAGGGGGAAGCAATGGAGCAGACACAGGACAGCCGGGGAAAATCTTGCCTGTCACACTGGGTAGTTCATGGCTGTGGATAAGCCAGTCGGATCTCCTGGGCTCCATTTCTCAAAGCATTAGCAAATGGGGAAATTATCACCGTGGTCAGCCACAGTAGATGCTCAGGGTCCTGGAGGTCAATGGAGTTTACACCTAGGAGCCAGGCGGACCACTCAGGTGCCTCAGTGAGTCCCTGTCCTCTCGGAGTCTCACCTTCTCCAGTAAAGAAGCCTTCAGAGCCCTTTGGTCCAAATTGTCTCACTGTGTGTGTGTGTGTGTGTGTGTCTGTGTGTGTGTGTGTGTGTTGCTTTGTTTTAGCATCTCAGACTATAGCACTGGGCACTAAAAAAGATCTCCTGGCTGCCCTCTGACTGTGCTCATCCTTGCTTTTTCCAGTACCCAGGCCAGGGTATTACCTATGCCAAGCCATCGGGCACAGGGGACCCCATGCCCTCATCGCAGCCCCACTGTAGGCTCCCCCAGTCTGAATGAGAGCCTGTAACTGCACGGACAGACAACCTGAGAGTTTGGCAAGACACACTTCTTTCCCAGCAGCACCGCAGTCCTTATTCTGCTCAACTTAGAATGCTTTTGTGTGTGTGTGTGTGTGTGTGTGTTTTCCCCGGTCACACTTGCTGTGGGAGAGACTCCAGCTCTTAGGGAGAAAGTGTAAGCATTCTCTCTCTCTCCAAGTCATGAGCCTTGGTTTCATAATTCTGGGTTGCCTCATGGTAGCAAATTCTTTTCCATAACAATGGAAAGCATTTCAGAAGTACTTCTGCTGAGTCAGAGCTAACAGCCGGGGTTGAGGCAAACAATCCCTGACCGCTGAGGGAGGAAGAACGCGGGCTAACTGCATACATCAATGTTACAAACCAAGGGGACTTCCCTCTGCCAGACTTCGGCTCAGTCCTGGCCTCTTAACGGGAGATGCCATCAGCTAGCTGGCCTGCCTCTAGGTTGCTTAGCAACCTCTGATGTCATCACCTGTTGCTGCTGGGGCCTGGAGAAAAGACCACTCCCTTCTCTCTCTCTTCCACTTCTCTTGCATTCTCTGCCTGTCCCTCTGTCTGTCCCTCTACCTGCCTCTCTCCCACACTGTCTCTGTCTTGCCATTCCCCCGATAAACTTCCTGTACCACACCTGTTGCACAATGTGTGATATTTGTAACATTGGAACCATGACTCAGATGACTCGGGCCTTTAGGTCCTGACAATGTCCTACGTCATCACTTGTGCCCTATGCCATCCCGTGTCCTAGGTCAGGTGTGTGGGCCATAACCCCCCCCTGCCCTACCCTCTCTCTCCTGGGGTGTTCCACTCATCCCCCCTTTCTCTTTTCCTATGCTCTCCCACAGCTCTGTCTCGAATAAACCTCTCTGTGTCAGACCTGTTGCAGTGTGTAATTTTCATTAGTGTTACAGTAAGAATTGTCTGGCACTGACAGGAGGGCGGCCATGGGGCAGGCAGCTGGTAGCAATAATCTTACCTTGATAGAGGCACCAGCAAAACGAGCCAGCTGCTTGATGTGCGCCCCCTTTTTCCCGATGATAGCACCCACAGCCTGGGTTGGGATGAAGAGATTCACAGTCTCCTGCTCTGGATACTAGGAAAGAACATCACACAGCTGTCACTCTAACCTGGCACCTCACGGCCCAGCCGGAAGAGTCCCAGTACGAAAAGGCCTCACTACCCCAGGAAGGTGGCCGAAATGGAAGGTTAGATCTTTGTGTGGCCCGGTGCTCTACAGGTGAACCTGAGAGTGAAGCTGAACCCAAAGCAGGATTGCACGAGCCTGCGAGGAGCCCTGAGCACCTGTGTCTGCTGGGCACAAGTAGTGTCTGTTCCCGGGTTCTTCGACATACATGGATTGGATACATATGTTCCCCGTGTCTTCATCCAAGAACCCACGTGGTTAATCTGTGACAGCTGGGTGGATTAAAAAGTGCTTGTCATGTAAGCCTGATGGCCTGAGTTTGATCCCTGGAACCTACAGCTGAAGGAGACAGTTCCTGAACGTTGTCCTGAGCTCCACACAGTGCTGTGGTGTGTGTAAGCCTGAATGTGCACAGCAGTGCATAGACCAGGAGAGGGGAAAGTGTCTAGCCCATCCTATTATGAGGAATACCATTTCACAAGCTGACTCACCCTGCTGTGACCTGGCCCTGCAGTGAGCACCCGGGGGGTAGGCAAGCCACCTCTTCCTGAAAACCCCTGAAGAGAAAGGCTCTAGGGCCAGGCTAGTGGCTGCTGCTATAGTGGTCTGTGGGAATGATGTGTCTTCAGTTGCTAGACTCTATGATTAAAGAACACTGGCAAAAAATAAAAAATAAAAAAATGTGGCACGGTACATGCCTGGTACATGTCCGTGTGTGCACACATGTTGGAAGCCAGAGGTCAGGGCTGGTACCTTCCTCAGTCACCAGTCATGGCTTTCACATGAAGTATCCAATGGGACCTGGAGCTCACTGACCTGGCTTGACAACTTGGCCAGTGAGATCCAGGGATCTCCCATGACCACTCCCTCGGTGCCAGGAGCACCCCAGCACACATGGCTTTTATGTGGGTGCTTAGGATTTGAACTCAGGTCCTCATGCTTGCATGGCAAAGCACCCCACCAACTGAGCTACACTCCCCTGCCTACTGGAAGCTTTTCTTTAGCTTATTAACACTTTCTAACCAGTTTGCTTTCTATTGTGTTTTTAATATATTTTAAAGTGTGTGTGAGTGTGTGTGTGTATGTGCATGTGCATGTGTGTTTGTGTGTGTATACATGAGTGCAGACAGCTACAAATACTGGAGGCACTGGATCCCCAGAACCTGGAGTAAGTGACTGTGAGCCAGCCGAAACGGGTGCCGGGGACTCCAGTCTCCTCGCAGAGCAGTATGCACTCTTAATGCCTGAGCCACGACTCTAGTCCTTTTGATTTTACCCTGTATGTAGCTTAGGCTGGCATGAAACCCACTACACAGCCCAGGCCCACGCCAACTGCTAGGATCACCCAGGAGGCCATCGAGGTGAGGGACTCCCCAACACTGAGTGTGAAGCAGGGTGGCCTTGTGCTCACACTCGGAGCTGTATTGCTCCTGGCCTTGCCTAGAGCCACGGCAGGAACATTCACGAGCCCGCTCCTCAGGGCGTGGGGCTGGCCAGGGAGCTGGGGCAGGAAGGAGGGGCACTTACAGAGTGATGGTGCGGGAAGGGGCCGAAATGATGATGCGGGTACAGATTGGAGAAGTATCCGGAGTGGGTCTGCACGGGAACAAAGCGGGTCAGTGAGTCGGCTGTCGGCACCCAGGCAGCACGCACCCTAGAGCCAGCACCACGAGCACACCTACGAACGTACCTTTCCCACACACTCACTACCTGGACCTGCTCTGTGGTGAAGACAGGGCTAGCGGCTCCCTTATTATGACGGAATTACGAGTTGTGTGTTACAAGCGACGGAAAATACTGTCAATATTAAATATTGTCAATATTTGTCAATACGGACAAAACGCAGGAGTTACTCAGGGCAAGCAAATATGATACTGGGGCAGACCAGCTAGCTGCAGCAGGGGTTTCCAGAAGGAACAGCAGCTCAGTGTGGAAAAAGTGAAAGCAACAGTAACGGAAAGGCATTGTGTGCAGACTTGGGGAGGGCAGACTGGGGAGGGGAGGAGCGGAGCTAGCCATTAAGAAAATTGAAGTTGAAACAGTAGCTGTTTTTTTTTGTTGTTGTTGTTTTTTTAAACTACTTATAGTACAGCCAAGACTATACTCCGTATTTTATAAGTCCTTTACCCTCATAGTGGTCCTGTGAGACTCACATAAGAATATGAGGTCACTTACTAAAGCCAGCAAAACCATGTTAATTATGTTTTATGTAAGGTCAAAAAACAACCAAACCAAACCAAACCAAACCAAACCCTGCTATCACTGTTACCACCAGGGAGGTGACGGGTGCTGGACACCAGCCAGACCTGCCTGACACAGGCGATGGATGCGGCTGAAGCCTGAACTCGGTTCAGAGTGATGTGCGTGTCTTTCATGATCCACATCTCCAGCTAGACTCAGCTCCAGGTCTAGCTTTACCTTATGACCTTTTGAGCTCAGAGAGAAAAGCCAGCATTCCAAGAACCCCAAGGAGATCCCCAGGCTCTAGGGAGGGACCACAGTGGCATCAGGACACATGGCCTGTTTGGACCGAAGAGACTGCAGAGATGGCTCCGCCCACAAGAGGGTGTTACCAGACCAGTGGCCCCAGGAAGCTTTTGAAGGAGGGTAGGTGAAGGCAGCTCTCTCCTGGCCCTGTCTCTCCGGGAAGCACATGGTCTCCAAACCCTTCTCTGTTCAGGTTCCTATTCTGGGGTGTGGCAGGTAAGCACAGGAGAGAGGATTCCCACAGTCGCTTTGCTCAAAGCTCTACTCAGGGAAACTGAGGCTCCTGCCTCACCTCTGGCCCAAAGCACTCAGCTCTCACAGCAAAAGTGGTTCCTGTGAGCTGTGATGCTAATGCCCACGCAAGGTGAAGAAGAGACCCACAGCAGCCTGTGTTCCGTGTTAACATGAACACCACCAAAATCAGTCTCGCTAAGGGACAGAGATTTTTAATCTTTAGCTTGTAAAACAATGAGGACAGAGTCCCTTCAACCATAAGTGAGAGCTGAAGGATTGCTAGGAGGAAAAAATTCTGAATTTAGCAGCCAGGAGATCATTTTCAGCTGAGGCTCAGGCCTAAGTCCTGGTCTGAATCTGTGGCTGTCCAAATGGGACCACTTCTCCAGAGCTTTCTGAATCCACACACAGACTCAGCTGCCTCTATCTGATTGTATTTGGTCATCCATTCATTCACCCAAAAGAAGCTTTGGAGCAGCCACCATGTAGAAGGCCTTATTCTATGAGACAGGGGCACAAGGAGACTTATGGTCTACTTGGGAGACAAATGCAAAACAATCAAACAAAAGAAACAAATTCAGAGAAGCCTTAAGCCAGTGGTAGCAAAGATGGAGCAAGAGTGAGCAGCCCACTCACTGGCTGGCCATTGTGAGACTCAGAGGCCAAGACTGCACACGGCCCTGGGCAAGAAGTACATGGAGTAGGAGGGTTCTCAGAAGGTCAGGCCAGGCTAAAAGGTCAGGCCTGTTTGAAACTTAGAGAGCCCGCTGGCCAGGTGAAGAGAAAGGAGCCTGGAAGGACATGAGGGGACGTCAGTGAGGTGGGATCAGCCTTGAAGACCTGATGCAGATGTGGCCTGGCCTCAAGGACTTTGGTGAGCCAAAAGGTGTGGGCTGTTTTAAGGACAGTACATGAGTATTCACTTACAATGAAGTAGGTGTCTTACCAGTGTCCTTCCTGTTTCCCATCTCCCCATGCTAAGCTGGAGTTGACAGCATCCCAAGGAAAGGGTTTTGCAAATTATGTTTCCTCTGGTGATCAGAAAGCAATCTATCAATGACCCGAGGAAAGCCGGACATGGTCACCTGCCAGAGGGGCCAAGGCCGGCTGGCTAGTCAAGAGGCCAGTTCCTCTTGACAATGGGTTCAGTGGCCCAATCCTTACAAGAGAGAGAAGCTCTCTCTTCTCCCGCCTCTCCCTTCTCCCTGCCCCCCTCATAATCACCGTGTGGGTGTGAGGGAGGTAGTGTTTTTATGAAGGTGACATCGAGGTGCTGTCAAGGGAGAGAAGGGGGAAGGTCTTTTTCATACACTGGCCCACGAAAAGTTCCCAGTTTGGCTCTGCTGGTGGGCAGACAGATACACAGCAGACACCTTTGTGAAAACTCACAGGAGTCACCATCAGCTCGCTTACTTCCCTGGAAGACCTGTAGGTCCAAGGAATAGGTAAGAGGTGGGCTTAAGATGTATTTTCAAGCAGGAGAAACCGGAGACCAGAAGTGTGAACAGTGAGAAAGGAGTCAGAGGCCTGGGCCAGGGATGCGTATCACACTCCAGGGTTTCAATAGCTCTGATGGGGTGACCGGCATCTCTGGCGAGAACCAGAGCAGGTGTTCCCCACGGGAACGGGCAACCTGGGCCCAGGAAAGGCAAGGGTTTGGGCAGGGTTAGAAAGGTTCACAGTTCTATCCCAGACTGCCAAAATGTCTCTGTCCACAGCAGCTTGTCCACTCTGGGCTCTCTTAGGACGACTGGGGGAGAGGGTACCAGGGGCTGGACACTGAGAAGGAAGGAGCAGAAGCAAGATTTGAACCTGGATCTATGTCTGACTCTACAGCCTGAGCTCTTAGCTGCTTCAGCTTCCTTGATCTGCACATGCCTGGAGCCCTCTCAGTGAGGTGAGGCAGAGCCTCAGGAGAGTACTATCAGCAAACTTCTCTATGGACCATTAACGCACCCTCTCCTGAGTTGACTAACACATGATTGTACAATTAAATTTCTTAGGCATGTATAAAGAATCGGGCCCAGTGAATAAGCTCTAAAAGCAAGCAAGCTCCCAGAGGGTCAAGAGACAGCCGCAATGTAGCAAACGGAAACCTTTAACTAACTATGAAAAATGTTAAAGTCCGTAGCAGGAGACTGGGCGTGTGGGGCGCAGCACAGCCCGGGGTCCAGTACTCGACACTGCAGGTGTGGGGTCACATGCCTGTCCTCATGGCACTGATTCAGGAAGGCAGGAGAGTAGACGCTGAAGCTAACCCAGGGAGTCGGAGGCCAGGCTAGACCACAGGGAACTGTCCCAGAAAATAAATAAGCAGAAAAGGGAAAGATCTGTGCAAATCTTACTAAGAAAACACGAAGTCTATAAGATTAAAAATCAGGAGAGACAGACGACTCCAAGGATGGACATTTAAAAATACAAACAACCTGTTATGCACAACTTTACGCTGCTGTATCTAACAGAGAAATAAAATGGATTTCTCTTCATGCTGGAGAGCAAACCCAGGCCTGACATACCACAGTCAGGCACCCCTCCATAGAGTTTCAACCCAGTAGTGGAAATGGACACTTTTATAGAAAATTACAAACTAATAGGGGTTGGAGATTTAGCTCAGTGGCAGAGCGCTTGCCTAGCAAGTACAAGGCCCTGGGTTCTATCCTCAGCTATGGAAAACAAAACAAAACAAAAAAACCAAACTAACAAAGTAAACAAACAAACATCTTTTCTTGCTGTTGTTGCTATTTCCAGACAGGGTTTCTCTGTGTGGCCTTGGCTATCCTGGACTCACTTTGTAGATCAAGCTGAGCTTGAACTCACAGCAATCCATCTACCTCTGCCTCCCCTAGTGCTGGGATTACAGGCATGTGCCACCACGCCTGGCTTTTATTTATCTATGTGTCTGTCTGTCTATCTATCTATCTATCTATCTATCTATCTATCTATCTATCTATCTATGTATCTATCTATCTATCTATCTATCTATCTATCTATCTATCTATCTATTTTTATGGCATTGGTGTTTTGCCTGTATATGTGTCTGTGTTGAGGGTATTAGATCCCTTGGAACTGGAGTTAGAGACAGTTGTGAGCTGCCATGTGGGTGCTGGGAATTAAACCCAGGTCCTCTGGAAGAGTAGCCAATGCTCCTAACCACTGAGCCATCTCTTCAGCCCCAGTCAAAAAGTTTTAAAAGAAATGGAAGTTAACTTTTTCCAAACAAAAGTTGCCATGCCAATAAGTTTTATGAGTAGGATTTATCATTTATCATATCTAAAAGGAATTTAAAAATGTTATATTTTCTTCCATTTTGTCAAATACTAAAAGCTGCTATGTTTTCAATTTCATTCTCTGAGGAAAACATAAAAACAAAAGGCAAGATTTCTGTTGAAAGTGCCAGAACGTGTAAAACGGCACTGACTTCCCTATAGACACAGGGTAATGGAATGCAGTGATGAGGTAGGCCGGGCACGGTGGTGTTCTAGTCCTCAGGAGGTGGAGGTGGAGGCGGGACCATCTCAGCAGCTCAAAGCCATTCCAGCCACAGAGCTAGCTGGAGACCAGCCTGGGCTATATGAGACCCTGTCTCAGACAACGAAAACCACAATAAAGGGCAGAGCTGGATTTCAAGTTGGCTTTATCAGCAGATTACTCAATAAATGAGTTTAGGAAACTGGTTATTCACTTGGAAAAATAATAAAGTTAGATGAAAATAAATTCCCTGTAAAATACAGTACAAACATGGCCTCTATCCAGCAAAATGAACAGCTGAAAATTACTATAAGGAAAACATTTTTTTATAATCTTGGATGAAGAAGTAGCTTTTTCCTAAGCATGACATTAAAGGCCAAAACCCCAAAAGAAAACATCACATCTTTAGTTGTTTGTTTTAAGACAGGGTCCAACTGTTTAGCCCAGGCTTGCCTGAAAATTTTAAACTCCTCCTGCTCAGCCTCCCCAGTGACAGGACTATAGGCATGAGGCACCAGTCAGGGATTAAGAAAACACGTCCTTATGCTGAAAATTTCTGCACCAATTTGGCCCAAGAGAAAGCCGTGATATTTAAATCACATGCGTCACTGTCTACTGTAATTTCAGTTATCAGGGACTTCAGCTTGCAGACGGACTCTGCGGGGCTCCCGTGCAGCCTCCGTCCCAGGAAGTGGGATGCCTTCTGTGCCTTTTAGGGGTGCCAACCTGGTCATTACATCTCACAGCAAAGGCAAAGGGCGTGCACTCTGCGCCCTCATGCTTCCGCCACGACCCTCCCCCCTTTAGAGGCACACACAGTTCAAGCGCTGGCTCCACCCTTCAGTCTAAGAGGCACTGGACAGGACGAAAGGGATGGTGTGCCATCCATGCTTCCAAACGCCTCGGAAAAGCTACTGTGGGCAAGGCAGAACGCGCCGGGCCTGTGGGCGTGACGGCAATGCATGTCTGTTGGAGGGTGCGAGCACATGCAGCCCCAAAAAGCCGCTAGCAATGCCTACACCAGAGAGCACCGATCAGAAAAGACCTCACTCAGACACCCGATTCTCCCCACCAAACAGTTTCTACACACAAGTAAGAAAGTTTGTCCACGAAATTAAAAAACAAAACAAAACGTGTGTTTAAGAGAAGAATAAGGTGGGGGAGGGTAGCCATCCAGTCTCCAGTGTCTTCAGCCTCCATCAGGTGATGTACTAATTGTGAGTAACGCCCTCGAATGAGAGCAACAAGCCCCAAACCTACTGTCCACATTTCTTCTGCTGAGGATTCAGAGTCAAACAACACTCATTAAAGAACCTCCTGAAGATCAGGCGGTGTGCTGTTTAGACGTACCGTGGTGTTTTCCTTCTAACCCTTCCTTTCAATAAAGTATATCTGAGTTATGGACAAAGCTGGCAATATGTCTATCTATCCAAGAATAATCCAGGTATCCCTACATTTGTATTAAACGGTAACACTCATGAACCTTGTTTGAACTAACAGCTCTCGTTTTTGTTAAATGGCCCTTGAATTAACGAGTTGGTGAGCGGTTCTTTGCTATGTGGCAGGACGCTTACCATCATTGACAGCACATGTTCAGAGTTTGGTTTCGTATCAATTTCCCCACCAGAAAATCCCTTGTATTCAAATTACAATCACCCAGAAAGACAGACTACAAAGAAAAGCTTTTGTGCTTCCTCAACATAGCAGAAGGGCTGGGCCAGCAAAAGCGACCCTCGGGACACTGGGCTACTCACAGTGAAGGGGGGGTAGGGGGCGCCAGGGGGAGCTCCTCGGGGCCCTGCTGGTGGAGGAAACACGGACAGTCCTGTTGAAAAGATGCCAAGTGCACTGAGGTTCAACCCTGGGATTAGATTGGCTTGTTGCTGGGAATAGAAACGAAGAGAACAGATGAGGGGGAGAAGCCCAGGGAGGCCAGGCTCGCAGTGGCCAGCCTCCATCTCCTGTCTGCACAGTGCCGGCATTTCCCCGTCAGCGCCACCCTGGTACATGGACTTCCTCCCCTATTATGGAGGGTGGGCAACTGATCTCAGCCTGATTGTGACATTCCTTCAGAGCTTCCCTGCCACCCTTGGCTTAATGTGGCCAACAAAGTCTTCTCTAGCTGCTTTCCTGCTAAGCCCTGGCTCCCATCCCACCAGATCCTTCTCCCTAAATACCCTGTGCCCTCTCACCTCCTGACTCTGTGCCCTCTTGTTGCTCCTCCCTCCCTTGCCCAGGTTCCTCCTACTCCCCCATCCCCCATCTCACTCTGGGGTCTCCTAACACTCCCCTTTCCTCAAAGACACCAGATTGAGTCTTGGGCTCCATGCCTCGCTCCTGCCTCACTTCCTTCAGATCATCGGCTGTTTTACTTAGGGCTGTATTCAGTGTCTGGTACGCTAGTAATCAATAAAGATTTGTTGAATGGAAACAAACACCGTCTTTTTTAATTACCAAAGGATGGGTCAGGATCTCTTGCTAGCACTGACACATGGGCAAATCTCATTATCTGATGTGAAGACCATTCCTTTTTGGCTCTTCATCATTTAGCTGCAGCTTCAAGGTTGTGCTACTTATTTCACAGTTCAACCTACGATGCTCAACAGGCCTGGAGGCGGAGAAATGTCCCTATGCTGGCCTGCGCCCAGCCTGCCCCAATCCCTGGCTTCCTGAACATGAAGCAGACCCCTAAGATTTTCAGAATGCTTCTCTGTGGGTAAAGTCACGCTGGAAATTGCCCCTTTCTGTAAGGATGCAGAAGAGCAAACCTGGATCCTTCACCATGACCTCGGGGTTGGATGTTAAGATACGGTGACTTTGTGATTTCTCTCCCAGAGCGTGCATTTGGCATAGATATCTAAGTGACACGCCCCGAAATGCTGATGTGGGTTGCACTTACACCTCTTTTGAGTATAACATCTCCAGATGTTCACAGAGAGAGTTGTTTGGCAAAGACAGTAGGGAGAGTACAAGAAAAGGATGAGACGGCTAGATGATACTGACAAAAAGGCATTCACATAGAAGGTTGCCCCCGCCATCCTGTCCCACAGTTACTGTTGGCACAGGGTGCCCAGGTGGGGCTGGGGAGATGTGTGGAGCAGAATGCCGACCCGAGGAACAGCTGTACAAAGCGTTGCTGCGGAGAGGCGGGGCTCACCACAGAACTGTCAATATTTACTTCTCTGTGCGATGTCAGCAGGTGGAGAAGGGGAGGAGACATGAAGCCAAGAGGTCAGGGAGGTTCACATGAAGCCAAGAGGTCAGGGAGGCTGATAATTGGGGAAACTGACTTGTGAATGGCTAGTCAGCGGACCCTTTCCATTCTCAGAAAATTGCAGAGACAAATGAAAGATTTCGCTCTTCTGAGCTGAGCTCTACTGAGGGACAGACAGCTTGTAACAGTTACCGAGTGAGAACTAAGTAACAGGAAAGAATGTGTCATCTTCTACAGGTGGTGGTGCGCTCAAGTGGGTGACAGCATTTACTAGGCAAACAGAAGTGAGGCGCAATCCTCCCTCCCTCCCTTCCTCCCTTCCTCCCTTCCTTCCTTCCACAGGCCAGTCTGAAACACCTGCTTCAAATACTCCTCAGCCTTGGCCCCCAAGCAGCCCAGGCTAAAAAAGCTCTCTAAGCCCTGTGATGGCATTTGTTTTGACCCTACATAATTAACTCTAGATCTTACACATGCTAAAAACTTATTACACATGCTAAAAACTGGAACACCTCCAGCCCAGTCCATTTATACATATATAATGGGGTCGGAGTCTAAATTTGTAGCCCCAGCTGGTCTGGAACTCCTGGTGTAGACCAGGCTAGCCTCAAACTCACAAACATCTACCTGCCTGTCTCTCACGTTCTGAGATTAAGGATGTATGCCACCAGACCTGGCTAATGTACATACTTGAAACTTTAAAGAGGGAGAAGACATGACAAGAGTGTACAAAGTTTAGAAAATAGGGGACCTCACTTTCCAGACCCAGCTACTTTTATTCTCATACCTAGCACCCAGTCCTGTTCATCTACATTACTTTGCACATGTATGTGTGCCGAGCAGCTCTGACATCTTCCTTTTCTAATACGTGTGATCATGCCCGTCACCCCACCTTGTGGCCTGGACGGCACGACCTGATTGGCTCACACTGACTTGGTTGACCATGCTTCACTGACTGGTTTCTTGGGTTGACGCCTTTATCCTAGGACGCCAGAAGTCCTTCCCATCTCCTAAAGCACCTCCCCATCTCCGGTAGTACAGCTATCCTCACAGAGCCGGGGTCCTGCCTCAGCGGTGGGGAAAGCAGGAGAGGTGGAAGGCCCGGCCCGGCCCTTACATTAACAGCCAGCATGTCGTTTTCAAAGGCCTCGCGGAGCTTCTTCATAATCTCCACCTCAGCACTGGCACAAGCTTCCACGGTGCCCTTCACCGTGATGGTTCTCTCGGGGTTGTATATGCTCAAATCCTGCAAGCTGGCCGGTGGGGAAAAGAGAGGGAAAATAAAACTCCAGACCACAAACACGGCTGGTAAAGACAGAGACACCACAGCACAGGATCCCTGCTATCTAATCCTGTCTTCCAGGGTGACACTGACCATATATTCACCTGCCATGCACTGAACCTAGGGCCTCACACGTGCTAGGAAAGCCTCCTAGCTCTGAGCGGTATGCCCAGCCAGTCTTACTTTGTATTTTGAGAAAAGTCTCACTAAGTCCCACTACGCAGCCAAAGCTGGCCTTGACCTTTTGATTCATCTTTCTCTTTCCCTGAGAGCCTGGATTACAGGCTTGTGCTACAGAACCAGTTTTCTTCTTCATCTTCATCATCATCATTAGTTTTTTGAGACAGAGTTTCTCTGTATAACCCTGGACTCGATTTGTAGACTAGGCTGGCCTTGAACTCAGAGATCTATCTGCTCCTACCTCCCCGAGCACTGGGATTAACGGCGTGTGCCACCACGCCAGACTCTCGCCTTTACTTTTTTATTGTAAAAATTCCATGGTGCTGGTATTGGAGCCTGGGGCTTCCCTCGTGCTGGAGAGTGCTCTGTTGGGCTCACAGCCAACCACAGGGATCTGCTTCCCCGGGCTGCTCGGAGTAACTCTGGCTGACTGTGTGCCCCCTGGAGAAAGGCAGGGGCTAGGGGACACTCCCACCGGTCACTCCTGAGCACACTTAGTCTGAAGGGGTAGCTTACGATGAGATGGTTATCTTGGTCCCTGTCTCATGTTCAATTTTCTTCAGATTTCTGCCTTCTTTGCCAATCAGTCTTCCAACGAAGCCGTTGTGGGCCAAGATTTTCAGAGGAACCTCCTCAGCCCTAGAAGGACAGATGGACCCAGCACTTAGGAAGGATGCTATCTAAGCTCCCAAGACTCACCACTTTTGCTTTGTATGAATGGGATCCAATCTCTTCATGTTCTTTCCCAACCTCAGCTTATGAATTCTGACTGAAATAAGCCACACAGTGGTAACTCTACCGCCATTTCCTACTCGCTAGTAGGCGGATTGCAGTGGGTCCACTAGGTAGGCCTGGCCAGTGGGAAATAAGCAAATAAATAAAAAGAATCCCATAAAAACCCAGCAATCTCACTTCTGGGCATATCAAAATCATGACTATTTGTAATCCACATGCCCAGCAGTATCACTGAATGGCCAGGACACAGCAGTGTCATCGAGACAAAGGGACGGACGTTATGCACTACCACGTGGAAGAGCTGGGGGAGCCGAAATTATAGGATGGCATTCCCAGATTGCAGGATCTGTATGATCCACTCATGCCAAGTATCTAAAGCAATCCAACTGCTAGAACAGAGGGTGAGCAGGGAGGCAAGAACAGGAAGCCACTTAATGGGCACAGAGAGAGGTTCAGGTTTGCAACCTGAGAGATAAAAATATCTCTGTGTGTCCGTTATAATATGCATCTCTCTCTTTATATGCACGCATATTTATTCTGTACGTCTAGAGAACTCCGAGCACCACAAACACGACCCCTCTACATTTATCGAGTAACACACATAGAACTTTTAAACATATTTCTTATCCCTCCAGCACCGAGTGGTCTGGGCGCTGTGCGGACTTACAGTTTGGTCTCATCAGCCTCCTTCTGCATAATTTCCAGAATCATGCGGCATGCTTCAGAAGTCCCTTCTGGGGTGGCATGGATTGTGACAGGCTTCTCCGCAGCCCCAGAGTTCTCCTTCCTGTGGATGTCTACCCTACAGGAAAAGAACCAGGTGCCGTAGCACTATTGGACAGCAGTACTGGACAGGGCCTAGCACAGGCACAGTCCCAGCCAACACGGGGAGGGCAGGGGAAATGCCATCAGCACCCTCGCAACTGATGGGGCTCTCCAGGAGGCCAGTGTGCAAGGAGGCTCGTGCCGAACGTAAACCCCTCGCAGCTCTGGTCAGAAGGGGGCCATGCTGACAGGAGTGCTGCAGGGCCGAGGCGCCCAGCCAACTTGGGAAGAAAGCCAGTTTGGTTAATGAGGTATTTTGCATAGCCTTTCACGTGCCTGTAGAACCGAAGGGTAAGTGGGGAAAAGAGCTGCAAATGGAGCGGTGCCGACCTCCGCACTGATTGCAGCCTTTAAAAGCCACCCGTGAACCCAAATTCCAACCCGGAATTCAAGCAGGCCTCATGCAGCTGAGTGTCTGCAGAGGGACAGCAGCGTGCCTCTCTCTGCCTTCCTAAGGTTTTGGTTTCCTTTCTGTTGGAAGTCCGCCATCTCCTCCAAGGCTCCTAAAACCAACAGCTTAAAGGCCTAATGACTTTATCAGACCTCTCCAGGTCCTGCTTGTTTTTAACTTTCAGAATCACATAATGGATCGAAGCCCTTTCTACTCCGGCTGTTACTTCAGCCTGCTTCTCAAACTGGCACACAGTCTGGGAACTAATTGCCCTTCGATGAAACTTGTTGCCTTTTAAAGCCACTTTACACGACTTTTGGAATTAGAACAGAGATAAGTAAAAATTACTTTACAGTGATGCAAACTTGGGAAAGGAGGGGCTGGTTTTTAGAATGAATAAAAGGAACATTAAGACAACCTCTAGTCTTCTTTCAGCATCCCCCACCCCCCACCCCCCCCACCCCCGCTCTGGGAGTCTACACACGGTGGGGGCCGGGGGTCTTAGCCAGAGCAGCATCTGCAGACACTGGAGGAAGCTTCCCTTTCAGCTTATGGGATATTATACTTGCTGTCATTCCAGTGACCGAGTAAGAAGCACCAGGTCAGGGAAGCGATTTGCTGGTGATCTGGTGCTTTGCAGTGTGAGTTCACTTGATCTGCATTTGATTTGCAGTCTCACAACAATACTGGGAAAATGTAGTGGCTTCCTCTTTTTTTTTTAACAGAAGTAACTGATACTCAAAGAGGTGATATATTTCATAAAAACTTGAACACACATTGCTGCTTTCCAGTCCTGGCTCTTGGCTCTTCCTTGCAGTGTGCTGCGGTCGTATGGACATATAAAAGTCAACAACTGTACAAACCATTTTGCCCAATGACTACTACCTCCAGCTCTTAAACAGAAAATTGGACCCAAAGCCAGACACTTTCTTGCTTGAAGCAGCAAGAACCCAGACGGTCCAAAATTATTACTTTCTTTTTAATCACAACACATATTCATGATTACTTTAATAATATCACAAAACTTAAATATATCTGAGAAATTCAGAAACACGCAATCACGAATTGAGAAAACTATTCATTCTATAGCTTTCCTGTCTTTATTCTATGCTATTTACTAAAATGTATCAGAAAGGAATATACTATTTCTGATCCTTCTATATCTGAGACAACCTAGGTGGTCTGAAGAACGGCTTCCCCGAGCTTGGCTCAGCAGGGGGATGGAGCCTCCACCAGAGCATCCAATGACCCCGGCTGAGCTCCTCTCAACTGCTGTGGAACTAGGCGAGCTCACAGGATGTTCCATAAGGAGCCATCCTTTCAGGGGAGGGCAGTTATGTCATTAGCTTGAACTCTCCTCACAACCCCCAAGGGTAGCAGTCTACTGAGAGGAGCACCGTTCCAGATGGCACGCCCTCCCACCGCTGCAACCCGTGACCCGAGGATGGCCGAGGCGGGAGGCAGGGGCCCCTGAGAGGAAGCAAAGAAAGCCCCGGAGGCACGTACCGGGACTGGGTCTGCTTAGTGATGTTCTTTATGGTCAAGCCCTCCTTTCCGATGATGGCACCAACAAACTGGGTGGGGACGAGGATCCGCAGCGGGAAATCAATCTGTCTGGCCTGAGAAGAGCTCCCGGGGGCGTGGCCTTGTTCCCGGGCTCGATGAGGGGGTGAAGGGGAGCTCACCTCTTCATCAGGGATGTAGGAGATCTTGAAGGAGTAGTTCTCAAACTGATGCCCACTCAGCTTCTCGATAGCTCTGTGACACAGCAGGGTAGAAAAGCTTATGAAAGAGACGGAAAAAGCTCTCACTAGCCACTGACGTGGTACCTGTGCCAGGCATTCAGGGCACATGGGTGAGCAACACAGATACCACCTCAATCCCTGAAGTCTCAGTTAACAAGTAAACAAGCCCTCGCAGCACTTAGAACTAAGCGAACTTAGATACAATTCTGCAGTTTACTTTCCTCTCCTACAACCTGAGACTAACCCCCCCCTTACCAAAATTGTATATAAGGGTCCAAAATTATTATTTTCTTCATAACACACCTTCATGGTTATTTTAATCACATCACAAATTTTTAATGTATTTGAGAAATTAAGAAACACATAAGCGCGAACTAAGAAAACTATTCATTCTATATCTTTCCTATCTTTATTATATACTAGTGACTGAAATGTATTAAAAATACTTGTACTATTTCTAATCCTTAAAAATCAGCTAACAGTCTACAAATATTCTCCATTAGCAAATACTTTGATAAAAGTCACTGCCCACTCCACTGGACAAAACTTTAAAAAGGAGGTCAGCCTTCTCCAGGTTCACTCTGACTTCTACTGTTGAGCCTTCCCTGAGTTTGTAAATTAGGCCCAATCTCTTGAAAATCACATGTATTGTCATGAACACATCTGAAGTTACAAGCTCCTCCCCCGGGATGAATATTCAGAGATTAGACGGCCCAATGTCCATCTGGCAATCAGTGCTTTTAGCAATGAACAGCTAACTTCCTGGAGACTGTTGGTATGAAAATGGGTGAGCTACGTCTTCACACGTGCTGAAAACTACAAGAGCAGTGATGCTATTCTCTTGGGAATGGGTACACTCCGGGCTTTGTCACAGCCAGGAAGTAGGACTACCTGCTACACTTCTAAGTTACAATGCCCATGAGGCACTTCAAGACCTCCTACCAAAACCTTCTTAGCTGGGCATGGTGGTCCGTGGCTGAAACTTCACCCTCCAAAAAAGCCCAAAAGATAAAAGAAACAAAAGAATAGTGGGTTTTGCTCTTGCGTAAAACTTAATCCCAAGTCTATTAATAGTAAACTCAAAATTAATCATTATTGGAGCAACAGAGCAATGAGTGAGGTGAGAGTGGGGAGTTCAAGCCAGTTCCAAAGGGTAGACCACTCCTGGATGACTGTGCCTGCTCTTGTCACTGAGGTGGATCACAGGATGTTATTAAATATTAAAACACCGAATGTTTTAGTCTCCATTCGGTGAGTAGGGATAGGAGGCCGAGCACATTCCTCATGGAGAACGGAGTACGCAATAGTAAAAGGGACCCCGTGAAGTTTGTCAAAGCAGAGCCTGCGAGTGCAGCATCAGAAAGCTGGTCCTCCCTCCCTGACACGGCTCCTGCCTTTCTGTCGATGCCAAGGCTCAACATCGTCAAGACAGTCTCTGCGCTACCACCATCGGTCTAGTGTCAACCCCCTGGGGTGCGCTGACATGCCAAGAACATGCCAAAAGCAGCAAGAACACCTTGGAGTTGTACAGGCGTGTCCAAGAGGACTTGCTGGCCAGCATCTAACTTCTCTGAAAAGGTTTCCAGATGCAGGACTCAAAGGAAACCAAAGAGAAACCCAACTAAACCTGGGAGGAAATAAAACCAAAGCCACTTACACCTTTGCTTCTTCTCTTGTTGTGTAGGTGACGTTGACAACAGCAGTTTCCGTATCTGTATTGACTAGGAAAGAAAGGAAAACTACATCACCCTCTGTCCAGAGAAGGCTAACTCCAGAGGAAAATGCACAAAACGATGTATCACCTTAACTGGCGTCCTGTGCTTATTGAGGTGTACTTAGAGAATATGAGAGTCAAATGTATGTTACACCCCGTAACCAGCTGCAAATATATAACACGCTGCCCCGTTTCACTATTCTAGAAGTACTTCTGAGCAGACATGAGCATATGAACCATCCCTGTATATTTCTGTAATTTCACTTTTAATATTTGCACAGAACTGCAGGGAGCAAACAGGCCATGAGCTGCTTCATCATCAGCCATTTGGGAATGTGCTGTGCCCAGCACTGTCATCTTAGAGTCCTGCCAAGTCACTTCCATTGCAAACACCATTTGATTCTGTATTCTTCTGAATTACTTCTTTAGACTAAAATCACAGAAGTGGGTGGAAAGACATGACACAAAGAAAATAAATGAAAAAAAAAATGCCACAATTCTTTGTTTCCTATTTTCAAAATGATCTCCTAGACCTATTATTAATTTTAATTGTTAATTAAAAGTACACAGGCTATTACAGGTTTCCTATCTGCAGCTTTCTAGAGCTACGAAGGAGGCTGTAGACCCAGACTCCCAGAAATGGCTGGGTTTATCCATATATATATATATATATATATATATATATATATATATATATACATACATATATATACTGAGGCAGAACAGTAAGCTTGGGCTAAATAGCAAGGCTCTATCTGTAAATACACACACATACATGCATGCATGCATGTACACACAAACGTACACAGGTGCACACACACTCATACATGTTTATGCATGCAGGCACACACAAATTACATGTGCACACAAACACATATACTCACACACACACACCAATGCATGCGCACACGCAGAGACAGACAGACACAGATAGACACACACACCCCTCTATTCATTCAAAGGGCTTGATTGATGAAGCTTGCTTTAACTCAAAACACCTAAGTGAAAAAAAATGCGCTTTCGCGCAAAAAAAAAAAAAAAAAAATCAGATCCATTCTTCAAAAAAAAACTTTAGGGGAATTTAAAATTAACAGCATTAAAGATAATTCCAGAAAAATCACAATAAAGCTGCCTTTCAAAGTAGCAATATTCATTCTTAAACTTTAGGGGTGCAATGACCATCTTGCTACATCAAAATGTAAAGAAATGTGACTCTGAGATTCTTAAAGGGATTAGGCAACCTCCAAATATTAAAGACTCTAGAATAAAGACATTTTGCCCATTAATTTCCAAGCATCTCCAGCCTTGGTGGAGGCAGCAGTAACTGTGCAGCAATCTATACGCCAAACAGTGCGATCCCAGCCCTGCCTCTGCCCAGGGGCCCTCAGGCTCTTCTCCAGTGATAGCCAGGGATACCCACACAGTGGGAAACCAGGGACCATGTGAGGTATGACCATCCTCACTCAGTGTCAGAGGTTTCCTAGCTGTAGCTGTCTAGACAGACAGAGAAGGCTATAGGCTCAGAGTCCCAGAAAAGACATCCTCTAGGAATCCCGGATCCTTAATTTTGCCCTCACTTTTTTACTAATATTCTCTGTTCTTTAAAGATGTTTGGTTTCTGAAAGTCACAAGGCCATTTGATTTTAGAGGAAGCTGAGCTCCATCTAAATAATTTATTTCACTAATCGCTAAATTCATGTTCCTCAGGCTCTACTGACAGGCTCTGCTGGGTCAGAGATCACCCACAAAATGGGACAAAAGCACAGCTCAGTAGTTTGTTTTGTGCCTTGAGGCGCTGGAAGCCGGGCAGTCTCCATGCTTGGCTGCCTAAGGGCTAAGTATTGTCCCAGTGCTCCTGAACCTCCTCCTCCTCCTCAGGGAGCACCGTCCTGAACTGATTCCAGTTTTAGCTGCCAAATTGTCTCCACCTCCCCAAAACTGGGGTTTCAGGCATGCGCCACCACATCCAGATCAGCCACTAACGTTTTTTTTAAATTGTTTTCAGGTTCGCACCCGTAAAGCCATCCTCTTGCCCACTCTCCTCTCCACTAGAATGTCTTCCCGCTTGACAATTAGGAAGTGAAAACCGGGAACAGAATTTTTAGAAAGCATGTTTTCTTCTGAGTGCTTTCCTTTCAACTCCAAGCATGAGCACGCAGCAGTATGAAAGAGTCGTGGTCTTAATAATCGTGGAGGGGAGAACACCAGATCCTTGCTGCTTCAACACAATTACGATCATTAACACTGACAGATTGGACACATTTCTAAGATCTGTGAGGAACTGGATTCTATATGATCTTTTCATGGGGACTTTACAGTCCCTTAGAACTTACGAAATACATAAACAGGTTTTCATTGAGTGATGTGACCATTTGATGGTATAGGAAGGGAGAAATTACGCTCGTTTCACACAAGGGATAATCAGTTGGTAAAACTGAGCTTCCAATCAATGATCACGGCCAATGTACGAAAAACCCTCACCATACTTGGGTGTCTTCATTGTCAGGGTCTTAGGGTCCACCTTTCTGGGACTCCTAAAGAGCTTTGTAAGACATCAGCTTCAGGTGACTTTTTGGTCCCCCTTAAAAAGTACTTCAGGCTTTAGCTAATAAAAATGAGTAGTGGGAAGAGAAGGAAGTATTTTCTGGCCATAGGCAGTGCTGCTCCTATGACGGCAGGTCTTAGATCCGAGGGTACATAAAACCACTCAAGAGATCCTCACTCATGAGCCGCTGCCCCTGCCCCGAGTCTCCACAGGTATGTGGCGAGTCCAAGGAACCTGCATTTTCCTGAGTGTTCCAGGCATCTCAGTGTGGAAGTCCTACCTCACAGTAAACAGACATTAGGCTGTGTGCTCGCCTCCCAGTGAGTTGGCGCTGGTTAAGGAGCAGCCGTGTAAACTCAGCTCTTCTCAGATGTACTAAGCTTGCCCCATTCCAACTGTGTTTGGCCAGCACTTAAGCTCACCGCAGGTGAATGTTGGGTATGGTGGCCACACCTTTAATCCCAGAACTTGGAGGCAGAAACAGGTGGGTCTCTGTGATTCGGAGCCCAGCCTGGTCTAGTATAGTGAGTTCTGGTCAGCCAGGGCTACAGAAAGACCCTGAAATAATATTCCTAGAACAACTAAACTACATAGATATCTGAGATGAATGACGGATAGACATGGTTGCTTCTGACAGGCAAGCGTACAAACACTTGAGGGGCGATGGGATTCACTACTTCTCCCTGATGACCCCCAGCCTGTAGGAAATGACAGACAAGGTCCTCTCCAAAGCTCAGCAGGCTAATTTCCTCACTCATTGGCTGACTTTCCTCGCTTGTTACCTTGTTCTACATTCTCCACTGTCCCGTACTCGGCCAACAGTCCATCCAACACCTGTAAAGATATCAGAAGAGAAGATCGTAAAAAAGGTATCCATCTCCCTCTGCAAGTGAAACACACTAAAACAAGGACGTTGGAGCAAGGTAAATAAGTCAGCACCTCAGGTCTTCCATGAAAACAGAGCTCAACAAATCTGAGTCCTCAGGGCCCTTTTCTGCGGATTGGTTCCCAACGGTCTACTCACTAAGGTGACGTCACACAATTTCAGAGTGTTGGTAACTCAACAGTGGCACTGCTATGATGCCCAGAACCACGCTGCCGAAGCAGAAAGCAGAGTAAAAGACAAGGCTCGTAATTCCTTAGGGGAGCTAACCACTCTCCTTCAGCTCCCCTCCAGGGATCTCCTTCTACTACTTTCAAGGAACAGATCGTGCGTGCTTCACATTTTTCACAGTAAAAGAAAAACTGTTCTTGCGGATGGAGAGATGGCAGTCGAGAGTGTACACTGCTCTTGCAGAGGTCCTGAATTCCTTCCTAACACCCGCATGGCGGCTCACAACCACCTGCAACTCAAATGATCTCTTCTGGCCTCGGGTGCTCCTGCACGCATGTGCTATACACAGACCCACACAGGTACACATACATACGCATAAAAAATAAACCTTCTTTTAAAGTTGTTGTTGTTGTTTTAAAGATTTATTTTTGAGATAGGGTCTGGCTTTCAGTAGCTCTGGCTGGGCTGAAAATCCCTATGTAGACCAGGCTAGCCTCAAACTCAAGAACTCTGCCTGTTTCAGCCTCCTAAGTACTAGAGTTAGTCATACAGCACTGTGCCTGACTATTCTGTATTTTAGAACAGGGTGTGTGTGTGTGTGTTTGTGTGCATGTGCATGAGGACACACACATGAAGACAGGTGCCTGCAGAGGTCAGAAGCACTGGATCTGAGTTTATGGTTTCTTGTAAGCCACCTAAGGATCTGAGTTTATAGTTACGTGTAAGCCACCTAACATGACCGTTGGAAACTGAACTTGTGTCCTCTGCAAAGACAGCTCAGGCTCGTAACCACTGCTCTCTAGCTCAGTCCTTTTTTTTCTTTCTTTCTTTAAAGACAAAGATAGAACATGGCTCTCTTTAAGGCTGTTTTGATTTCCTGTGGGTTAGGGCAGTTTGTTCTAAACAATGAGGCCATTCCTCATGTGCTATTAATTTTATATCAAGACAGCAAGCAATCTTACAACTTTTAGTGCTCTGAAAATACATCGTAACTGTTACAACAACCACCTCAGAACAAAACAAACAGAGTCTACTCTATTAATAAAGAATTTTGTTTCCACAGGCTTTCCAGTGACTCAGCCAATCAGAATAGGGACAGACAAAAATCCATTCATTGAATCATGTGGTGAGGATCATGAGAAGACCCACTCATCTCCTGAGGAAGCCAACAGGGAGGGTCAGAGAGGAACAAACACAACCTCTAACTCACTTCACATGCCCCACAACTTGGAAAGGAAGGTCAGGACCTGGAGGTTTGGGGGAAGTCTGAAGGCATTTAATTCCTAAAGTAAAGGGAAGCCAGCCAGGGAGGCACCTGGGTGCCCGGGGCTTACCTCCCACTGCAGGTGAGGCGGGATGTTTCGAATCTGGATTTTTCTGCTCCTGTAAAGACAAGACCAGTCTAGAACATTTTGTCTGCACATTACAGCTTCAGCAGATAACAAAATCAGCTGTAAGATCATAATTAAGTTCACTGTCCAACTTATTTACCGAAACCATTCACCGGCCATTCCTACTGGGAACAGTAGGCACCGGGTGCTAAGGTTTCCAATTACTTTGGGAGGGAAAAAAAAAAAATCCAGAAATCGTGACAAGTTAAAATTACAATTTAAATACAGGCTTAAGTTTTCAACTGTCTACCGAAGAAGCTAAACCATTATTTACTGTTTCTATGATTATGCTCTCAAAATACATATGCTTGCAACTGATCCTATCCCTTGGCTCAAACATGGTCTCGCAAGATAGGTCTCTGGCCGGCTTGGCCATCAAGATTACTAGGTATACCAGGTTGGCTGGTGCTGGAATCACTCTCGGGAGCTGCTGTGCCATTTGTAAAGTGTGGGTGTGCTGTGCTAATGACTAGTAGGGGCTAGGCTGTAGAACCTCACATCCCGTCTTCGTGCTGTGAAGGCTGGTTGCTCATGCTCTTCAGCTGTAATTCTTAATGAAGAGGCATGCCTATGGCGGCTGCACAGACATCCCTACAGAAGATGCCACCAAATCCATTTGTAGAAAAGTCATCAGAACTTAAGAAAATGGACTATTTCTAAAGAAAGGTTTATTTCCAAATATAAGTGTCTACTCTTACAGCTAACACACAGAAAGAAATTCATCCACGAGCTCAAAGATATTTGAACAAGCACAGCTGCTGCATACCTACCCGCCGGCAGAAGGTAAGTGAGAGCATTGCTGTAACATACAGGAAACACAGCTTTAAAATGGAGTAGGTATATTTGCAAGGAACGCTCCAAGGTGTGCTGGGACAGAAAACCAATTACTACTTAAGCTGATCCTGGTTTTGTAAATTACTTTTAATTCTATGTATATATGTATGTGTATGTGTGCGTGTAGATACGTATGTAGTACCCAACTATTAAGGTTAATAGCCTCTGAGCTCTGGATAATATGATGGACTCCCTTTCTCAGCTGGGTTCCCTTTCCACCTTATCTGGGGAACCCCAGATTTCCTAAGGAACATCAACTAACCCTCAGGGAAATCACAGGCCCAACCCTTTCCTAATAAAAAATCCGTTCAGCAAGCACCTGGGGATTCCTGGAAGCGCCCCCCCCCCCCCATGCTGAGAAGATATCTCAGCTTTTAACCCATGACCTTTAACCATACCTGGAGTTCCTCCCCTACTTTCATGTAAGTACTGCTTTCCCCCTCTTATGATAGGACTGTTCTCTTACATCTAGATCAAGTATCCCTGGAGCCCCTAGCCCCAGCCAATCATCAAACACATTCACCCTCGAAACTCAACCTACTGCCCAAGGTTTATAAATCCCTGATTCATGAAATAAACTTTCCCACTCCATTTCTTCACCACAACTGTCTGAGAGTCACTGTTTATTCTGGGCTTTTGAAACTCCAAAGCCCTCCGGCAGTGAAACACTTTCTCCAACAAGGTCACACCTCCTAATCCTTACAATCCTTTAAATAGTACCACTTTGGGGACCGCTCTTATGTAAACCACCGCATACACCTATGGTTTATTAATTTTGTGTGTTTATGTTTACAGATGTATGTGGATGCACAGGTATGCTTATGTGTGTGCATCAAGGCCAGAGGACAGACTTCGTGTTCTTCAGGAGTGCTGTCCACCTTGTTTTTGTGCAGGGTCTCACACTGGCCTAGCGCTCAAACAGGCCAGGGTGGCTGGCCAGCTAGCCTGTGGGATCTAGCCACTTGTCTTTCCCTCTCCAGAGTGAGGATGACAAGCACATGCCAGCATGCTCAGCTTTTTTACATGGGTTCTGGGGATCAAACTCTGGTCCTAACACTCACAGGGCAAACACGTTACTGACTATGGCTTTCCTCTCAATTCTGAACTGTTTAGGCCGCAGAGCTGATCATCCCACCTACATCTCCACTCTGAGATGGGACTCTTAATAAAACTACAGTCACTTTCCCTGTGGCTTTAAAAGGCAGGAACTTAGAACTCAAATACAAGTAAACTATCTGCAAGAGGAAAGGGCAAGAGGGCCAATCCCACACTACCTGCACAAGGGCAGCGCAGCCCTGGAACCATTAAATGTCTGGTTCTGCGTTCTGTTTAGCTGTGGATTTCCCACTGTAAACCACTACAAAACAAAATATACATGACCCTACATGCCTCTGGGTTTTCTCCGTGAATGGCATTATTTCTGTACTCTAGGCTCCCAAAGCTGATAAGAGGTTGCAACTGAGTGAATTTTAGATGACATAGATGTCAATTACAAATATTAAGAACTGTCAAAACCATTTTGTCATGACAGAATTTGTTACAAGCTTTGACGGCGCTGGGCTGGGGATTTCAGTAGAGAATGAGTTAACGTGATTTGTAGGAACCCAGTTGCATTTTAATACTAAGCTCAAGGTCCCCAGGGAAACTGTAGTCAGGCAGAGGAAGCCAAGAGCATCCTGTAGAATCAATGAGGAATTCTACCTCACCGGGTCCTATGCTTGTTTCTACAGCAACTCTGAGTTCCATCAGATGACATGGGGTCCTCCCTGCCCAGAAGAGCAGGTATGAGCAGCTGATTTCCACACACCTGCTCACAGACAGGCTCCAGGCATCCCACAAGCTCAGCATGGCTGATGCATTTTTACCTGTTTCCTACTCTGCGGTCAACTGACCTATTACAGGAAGCAGACAAATCCCTGATGAGAGCCGAGTCCCGCCCTGTACCTACATCAATTATGGTTTTGCCTCCAACTTGTAACGTTCACACGTGGTCACTGGTAGAGATGTCCTGGGCGAATCGTAAAATGACTAAGTTAGATATTTGCAGCGACCCCTTGCAACGCACTGTCAGTGGGACAACTGCATTTATGGATGTGGCAACTCCTCCCACACTGAAAACATACATTAATGAAGCCATCAGGCCCCGGCAGCCGACAACTCACTCTCCGGCATATCCAGACAGAGCTCCTGAAAGCCATGCTTGGATGAAACAAAGCAGCCAGCAGGAGTGTTTTGTCAGCTTGGTCTCTCATGACAAAGCACTGTGGACTGGGTGGCTTATAAGCAGCCAATGCGCAGTTGTGGGGACAGCCTTCAGCCAGGGCCCTTTGCCGTGTCATTGTGTAGCAGAGGCAAAAGGAAAAGCAGGAGAGCTTCGCAGGGGCATCATTCTGAACCACTATGTTGTATAATGGTTTCAACACAGGATGTCATGGAGGTGAGTACCGCATACACTTTCAGACCGAGGCAATGAGCAGCAGTTGGTAAACTTTCCAATCTTGTGACCTTTGCGAATCTCTTTGACCTCCTCACTGCTACACGAGGCACAGTGATTCACACCTATAATCCCAGCCCTCGGGAGGCTACGGCAGAAGGCTTGCTATGTTTCAGTTAACCCTCTCTCAATGAAAAACAAAAGATGAGCCAAAGCCAACTCATAACTCATAAAATGGACCTCAGCTCCTAGGGGAGAGCCACTAACTTAGCTCCAGGTCTCCTTGTTTGAAGGAAGCGTAAGACTCTTAATTGCTGAAATGGAAACGTGAAAGTCAATTGCATGATGATTAGATGCAGGAAGAAAGGTTGTGTGGTTATTTCTAGGCAGGACAAGGAAGGAAAGGGAAGAAATTGCTTTCCCTGGTGGGTTGGGAGACAATGAATACAACTCTCATTCAAAGGCCATTCTAACTCCAGCCTCTATAGTCTCTGGCATCTCCTACGGAAGGCACCAGCTGTACAGACTGAAGCCAGCACACGCCGTCCAGTGAGATCTCCAGAGCTTTCTCTTTTTGGAAGGGAGCTTGGCATCTAACATTCATCCTTCCTCCACCCCCTCTTACTTTTTAGTGAAAGCACTTTTTTTACATAGTGATAAACAGCAGAACTATTTGGACACAAAGACCAAAATGCCGATTAATTATTGAGGGAAAGATGGACGTTTTGTTTATCATAAACGTCTTCAGGAAACTGGAAACTAGGCCTAGTGGTACATCCCTATAATCCCGGCACTCTTGAGGCTGAGGCAGGAGGACTGAACGTTGGAGGCTAGCCTGGGCTACCCAGTGAGACTGTCTCAAACAACAAAAGGAACAACAACAAAAAAGACAAAATGGAGGAAGAGAAGAGTAAAGGAGAGGTGGAGGAGGGGAAAGTTGGGAGGCCGGGATGCTCGCACAAGGAAATTCCAACCTTCTTCTAAAGCTTCGAATACACTTTCCTATAGATGCCATCTCCCACCACCCTCCTCCTCCTTGACTCCTTTGCTGTTGTTATTGTTTTTAAACAATATAAAGAAAAACAGCTTCAGCTTTCCCAGTCTTCCCTGTGGCCTCACTGACGCTCCCATCCTTCAGTTTTCAGCAGGAAGGTTTCCCCAAACTACAGCTGCTGTTTATCTCAATGGCTCTGTGCACCCCACTAAAGCCTTACCATGCCCAGTGACGTGGCTATCACTGTCAGTACTTCTCAGATAGATATGCTGAGTCCTTTATCAAGTCTCAGTTAGGAATGACAGGGGTTCTTTCTTTCTTTCCTTTCTTTCTTTCTTTCTTTCTTTCTTTCTTTCTTTCTTTCTATATTTGAATATTTGCTTTTAAAAATGTCACACTGGAATTGCCAATTCACTGACACAAGTTTTGTATTTCAAGTGTGTATTTTGTTTTAATAGCTCCTCGATAAGATGGACCCCCTTAGACAGAAGAAGGTTTTATCTCAACATCAACCTCACTGTAGAGTTTCACCAAACCTTCTCCTCCAGGAAGGGCTCTTCTGGAAACTTCCCCATAGGTGGGGTCACATGGAAATCACCTGCTTCAGTTTTGACAGGCTGTGTCATGCCTCCTGGGGAAAGATCAAGTTTGAGAACCTCCCCAAAATATAGGTGGGGCAAATTCTGGAGAGCTCCCAGCTAAGGGTAAGGGCCGTCAAGCATTGCCTGAA